CTTTTTTTTTTTTTTTTTTTTTTTTTTTTATCTGATAGTTTAAAAACTCAAATTGGTGCCTGCTTGCCTTCCTGACCCTACTTCACTTACCCGATGGGTCCTAGTGGTTTCCTGAGCTAGAAGCTTGGCACGCTGTGTCCCCACCACTTCCGGGGCAGGACTAATAGTGGTTTAACCTCTAGGCAGGAGCTGCCCTGGAGGTCCGGCTGACCCCCGCCGAGGAGGCCCACCAGCGGCTGGAGAGGATCTTCACTGCTTCTGTAATGCCACCTCCCATGTGTGGTTCCCAGCCCCTGACACTCCTCTTTCCTGAGACAGTCCCTGGGATCCGGTTCCCTTCTTTCGCCCTGTTCTCTTACCATGGAGGATGTGTCTCAGTGCCCAGGTCTGGTGGGTGTTGAGGCAGGGAGCTGACACTCCCCTTTTTTGATGCCCCGACTCTCCAGACCCAGATGGGCCTGTTAGCTCCTTGTCTATTTCTAACAGGCAAGGTCCATGGCCTGGCTGACTCCCCTTCCTCTCCACAAAGGCCTTTAAGTGACCAGATAGAGACAGAGAGGTTAAGGTGCCTTGATACTTGGGCAGTTGGCATGTGGACCAGGGTGGGGTGATACCTCCACTTGCCATGGGTAGTGTGCCTGCCTGGGAGGGGTGCAGTGGTGCTGTGGGGGTTTGAGGAAGGGTCCTAGACTTGGGGCTACTGGTGGTCTTGTTGTTTGAGAGGTGCAGGGATGACACCTCTGAAGGGGAGCCTTTGGCAGAGGGAGTGGCACCCTTGGTTGTGTGTTTGGATGCAGGGACACCCCTGTTCTGGGGTCTGATGGCTACAGGGGAGCTAGGCTGGAAAATGCCCTGGAGATAAGGCAAGGGGCTTCTGGGGGAACAAGGCTCTGAATGTGGTGAGGTGGCCTGGCGGCACACAGAAGAGGAACCTGATTCAGAATGGACTAAGTGGCCAGCCCAAGAGAGACTGTGGCCAGGGTGGCACACTCCTGCCCTGGGCTCAATTCACCTGCCCAGGCCAGCAACCCCCTCCTGGTGCTAAGCAACTCCCACCTACACCCTGTACCTTGGGCAGCCTGAGAGTGCCTGCCCACTGGCCCAGGGTGCTTGCTGAAGGGGACATGCTGACGGTCTGCTTGTCTTCACCCCTCTTCTTCTCTCTTCTTTGCTTGCTGCTGGTAGCTGGACCCTGAGGCCGCCTCTCCTGCCCACAGCCAGGTAGGGTGTTCCTGCCCCCCTCAGGAGCCCTCTGCTTCCTCCGGTGACCACCTGCCACCCCTGGCCTGTACCTGGGCCGGCGTCTGTGCTCGGGCCTCATGCTGGAGTGTAAGGCCTCTCTCCCTTTCTGGTCCCCACCTGTTATGTGACAGGATCCTCCCAGGCGGCAGCGCCAGGAGTTTAAGATGGGCAGCTGTGTCAGGCCCTTGGGGAACGTCTAGACTGAGTGTCACCACTTGAGTTTGGCCTCTGTGGCGCATAGTTCTTAGCCACTAGAGCCCAAGGGCCTGGCCGGAGTTTTGGTTTCTAGGTGTTTCAATTCTGCTCACACTGGGTAGAGAAAGCTGAAAAGGCTGAATCCCTACCACCCCCACCCCCTAGACCCTAGCCCAAGCCTGAAGATGCAGCATTCTCTGTCTCCACCTGCTGGCCAATGTCGGAGACCCACCTTCGGATTAGCTCGAAAGGAGTTAGTTATAGGCCGTGACCCTTTGATGTCGCCTTATGCATCAGTCTTCAAACACCTGACTCGTAGGGTGTGCCCATTCAAGAGAAAGGTTTCACCCATCTTACGTGACTTTAAAAACAATAGCACATACAACATAGTTTTCTTTTATAAAGTCACATTTCTTCAAATATAACAAGCTAGCCATTTTTTAATGTCTTCACTTAACAACTTAAAATAGTGACACCCCACAGTGATCCTCTAACTGAAGGGTAATTTCACTGCCCATGACTGCCAGAATCTGGGGACCACTGGTGTAGCCCAGCCTTCCTCCTCTATAGCTGGGAATGGCAGTCAACGAGGGAGAAAGAGTTCTCTGAAGCCGGAGCCAACTTGGGAGTAGAACCCAGATCTCTTTCTATCAGCTCTGAGAAATGTGACAAGGAGAATGCTTCCTCTATTATGTTTTCTTGTCCTTCTCAATCCCTCACCGGGGGACAGATCACAAAGCTGTGTATCTACCCCAGGTCTTGTGAGGGTGGGGGACTCTAGGAAACTATACATCACAGCTGGAGATCCTCAGAGAGTGGGAGACAGCTGCTCCATGCCATGAGGGGTGACCATACCCCCAGCAGGGCCACTGGATGACCTGCTGCCCTTTTGCCCACACACAACAAAAGGAGCCTGATGAGCCTGTCTCCTGTTTGCCAAGCTCCCCTGGCACCATTTCTGCCCAGCCCAAGTCTTCTCATGGAGTGGCAGCCCCATACCCTGACAGTGCCCCAAAATGCTTCTTTCTGATTGGTGACCACTTGGGGCCTCCAGGGGCTCTCAGCACCTCTATACCCATTCTGGTGCCCATCCATGTGGCATGTAAGTTTCTTCCTGTGTTTGGCAGAGCAGTGCTGCCCCTTCCCACCCACCTCCTATCTCTGGGTCATGCCCTTGTATGGCCTTAGCATGTCCACATAGGTCTGTGTACTTGCCACCTTCTGAGGAGGCACAGAGTAGCAGCAGGGAGGCTGGCATGGGCATCTAGGCATGCCCAGTGGAGCATCCTTTGGAGAGGAAGGCCAGGCTGAGGCTAGGACTCAGGCCTCACTTGTCATTTTGCACTGCAAAGTCTTCAGTAGACTCTTCAGGTCTTGAGGAAATGTTCCTCCCCAGCCTGGTGAGGGAGGGCCCATCAGGATGAGGGAGAAGCTGGGCCTGAGAGGTCACAGCAGCTGTGGCCCAGGGTGAGGAGTGTAGGATACTAACCCCACAGGCTTGGCAGGGATGTGGGGGAAAGGGCAGCTCAAGGTAGAACCTGCTGATTTGTTTTCCCAGGATCCCTCTCTCCTGGGTACATGGTCCCTGTGCCACTGTCCTGCCAGACCCTCAAAGCTGGCATGGTCACCAGCCCTGAGTCCTAGTCCTGGACCACCACTACCTCCTGGCTTCCCCACCTTTTCCCTCTGACACTTCTGATGTCCCTATTCTGTGTCTGCCACCCTACTGTCCCCCTCGCCCAGTGGCTCATCTGGAAGCCCTTTCTCTCAAGTATCTCCTCTCTCCTGATGCCCTTATCTCTGTTTTCCTGAACAAGGTCTGACTATTTATTCTTCCCCTCCCTCTGATAGGCGAAGACAGAAGAGCAGATTGCAGCTGAGGAGGCCTGGCACGAGACAGAGAAGGTGTGGCTGGTCCATAAGGATGGCTTCTCACTGGGTGAGCCTGGGGAGGCCCAGGGCCAGGTGCCTGGGCCTCTTGGGTTTCAGGTCTGGGGTGCCTTCTGCATCTGGTAAGAGCTGGGTGGGGAGCAAGGAGAGCCGGTGATACTGTGGGGAGGAGGCAGGGCCATAGAAGGCCCAAAGAGGGTAGCAAAGCCTTCCCAGGCCCACACCTGACTGTCTGCCCCATTCTGCAGCCAGTCAGCTCCGATCGCAGGAGCTGAGCTTGCCTGAGGGGAAGGTGCGCGTGAAGCTAGACCACGACGGGACCATCCTGGATGTCGATGAGGATGACACAGAGAAGGTTGGCAGGAGGCTGGTGGAGGGCCCAGGAGGCGGCTGAGCGGGGCAGGCCTGCCCGCGGGCAGTGCGGACAGGTTCTGCTCCTTCAGTGCCCTGTTGTCTGTTCTGTCACACAGGCCAATGCCCCGTCCTGCGACCGCCTAGAAGATCTGGCCTCGCTGGTGTACCTCAATGAGTCCAGCGTCCTGCACACACTGCGCCAGCGCTATGGCGCTAGCCTGCTGCACACCTATGCTGGCCCCAGCCTGCTTGTCCTCAGCCCCCGTGGAGCCCCCGCCGTGTACTCCGAGAAGGTGCGATGCCCCCTAAGCTACCATGTTGCCTCATGGCCCCACCCACCCACTACCTACCCCACCTTTTCTGGCTCTGCCCCTTCCCCTTGGCATCGCACTGGGCTCCTGTTCGTTGTCACAGGTGACTTTGGGGAGAGGAGTCATTGCAAGGGGTGGACCCAACCTCTAACAGAAACTAGAACTTGGCTAGTATCTGCATGTCCACCCATGGCCTCAGCCTTGGAACCCCTCTGCCACCCTGGAGTGAAAGGCCCAGAAGGATGTGGACCTTGGGGGTGAGGGGTGTCTGAGTGGCACCAGCTAAGAGCCTACCCATTCTCTCCATCCCTCTCCTGCCCAAGGTGATGCACATGTTCAAGGGGTGTCGGCGGGAGGACATGGCACCCCACATCTACGCCGTGGCCCAGACCGCATACAGGGCAATGCTGATGAACCGTCAGGACCAGTCCATCGTCCTCCTGGGCAGCAGTGGCAGTGGCAAGACCACCAGCTGCCAGCATCTGGTGCAATACCTGGCGACCATCGCAGGCACCAGCGGGAACAAGGTGTTTTCTGGTGAGACAGGGACAACTGAGAGGCTGCGAATGGGCTTGGGAGAGAGGGTGGGGATGGAGGACTCTCCTAGGCACAAGCTTTTTTCTCCCTGGCCTCTCTGTGCCCCCGGCTTTCCTGACAGCCCCTGGGCCTGTCTTCTACAGTGGAGAAATGGCAGGCTCTATACACCCTCCTGGAAGCCTTTGGGAACAGCCCCACCGTCATGAACGGCAATGCTACCCGCTTTTCCCAGATCCTCTCCCTAGACTTTGACCAAGCTGGCCAGGTGGCCTCAGCCTCCATTCAGGTGAGGGGACATTCGGGGTAGTAGGATATTGACCATCTGATTCCATGCCCTAGAAATCAGGTTCTCTCTTGTGCCCCATTTTCCTGGGATTCTGCCCCAACAAAACGCTCCCTGGCCTGCTCTGCCTGAGCCTTCACCATGCTGCTCCCTGTGTCTCCTGCCCTGGGTGGGACACCGCTCGGCTTCCTCACCCCCTACCCAACCTGTGCTCAGGGGCTTCTCTCAGGCAGGTTTCACCAGGGAAGACTAGCTTGCCAGTAAAGTAAGGCCCAGCCTAGGCCGACTCCCTTGCTAAATGAAATCTCTCACCACTAAGTGTCCAGTTTCCCTCTAAGGCTGTGCCTAGGGACCAGGCAAGTGGCAGTGTCCCCCATGAGCTGGTTTCTGCCTGGATTTGCCTCAGAGATGATCTGACCTTTGGTTGAGCACCTAGAAAATAACACGCAGCCTCTCATTCCCATGGCCTGGTCCTTGCTGGTGTGGGGTGGGAGACGCTTCTCCTGGCACTGCCCTCCTGTGCCCACACCCTTCATGTTGCGCACAGACGATGCTTCTGGAGAAGCTGCGTGTGGCTCGACGCCCCACCAGTGAGGCCACATTCAATGTCTTCTACTACCTGCTGGCCTGTGGGGATGGCACCCTCAGGTGAGATGGGACAGAGGGAACAGGGAGGGTGCTTTGGACTCCAGACCCCTGAAAGTTCCTGGACCTTACCACTTGACCGTATCCCATACCATTTGTTTATTGTGTGCCTGCTACACTGCGTTCTGAGCTAGGGCCTGAGGATGGGAAAATGAATGAGTCCCAAGCCCTGGCCGGCAGGACCTCCCTGGCCCTGGGCACAGGGGTCTGGTTATGTGTGAGGGGCACAATTAACCCTTCAGTGTTCCCAGTGCCTGACTAGGATCTCTGCTTCATGAAGCCAGGCCTAGAGAGGAAAGCACCCCAAGATGCAGGTGGCCAGGGACTTGCCTGCAGTCACACAGCTCATAGGGGGCTGAGCTGGTCCACACTGGGGCCAAAATCCTAACCCCTTTTCAGTGTCCTCCCTCTAAGCTGGCCCTCCCTGCCCCCACGTTGGCTCCCCTGCCAGGCTCTTCCCTGTAGACCTTCAGATCCTCTGTGTTCACTGAAGAGAGGATAAATGATGAGACGGGGCAAGCAGCCCTAGGGCATTATCCTTTTTAGCTCTTCTTGTAACTGAGGGCACAGGCCCTGTTCTGGCTGGACTCGCCCTTCAGGTAGGTTTCCCGTTCCCTTCCAGGGCTCTGGCTTGACACTTTCACCAGGGCATCTCTGGTGACCTGTCCTAGGGAGGCTGGTGCTCTGAGCAGGCATCCAGGTCAATTAAGAAAGGCACTAGCAGCTGGCCTGACAGTAGGGCATGACGGGCAGACAGGACTCCGTCTGGAAGTTGAGTTTGTCTGTCTCCACCCTGGTAGGGAGATGACCTTGGCATAGGGACAAAGCACTATGCTGATGCCTCATTTGTGCCCCTAGGACAGAGCTCCACTTGAACCACTTAGCAGAGAACAATGTGTTCGGGATTGTGCCACTGGCTAAGGTGAGGGGCCTTTGGGGACTGGGTTGGACAGCCCTGGGCTTTAGGGGTAAAAGGTGCCTCAAATGCTTAGCTGGTGTGGCCCAGTTGTTGGAGTGTTGTCCCATACATGGGAAGTTGTGGGCTCAGTTCCCGTTCAGGGCACATATCTAGATTGTAGGTTCGATCCCTGTTTGGGGTGCGTACACGAAGGCAACCTATCTCTCTCTCCCTCCCCCCCCCTCTCTCTCTCAAATCAATAAGCATGTCCTCGAGTGAGGATTTTTAAAAAAGTCTCAAATGGATTGGAGTGCCCCATGGGAATACCAGGAGCCCAGCTCCAGCAGGGTGGCTCTATCCTAGCCTTGCCCTCCCTGAGGGACCAGCAGCATGGGGGTATCCTGGGAGTGGGGGACAGCCCCTCTGAGATCTGGTGCCAGTGTGCTTATCTCTCCTTGTAGCCAGAGGAGAAACAGAAGGCAGCTCAGCAGTTCAGTAAGCTACAGACGGCCATGAAGGTGCTGGGCATCTCCCCTGATGAACAGAAAGCCTGCTGGCTCATCCTGGCTGCCATCTACCACCTGGGGGCTGCAGGAGCCACCAAAGGTAACCTGCAGTGGGTCCCAACAGCCTGGCTTGTCACCCAGGAGACCTTTGGGGAACCTTCCCATGCCCAGTTTGTCCTTGCTCAGCACAGACTCATCTGTTATCAGACACCCCTCTTTCACTGTGCCTCTTCCCAGCCCCCCCACATCAGAGCAGAAGGCTCCTGATACCCAGAAAGGCATCCCTGCCAATGATGGCCTGAGGCCTGGATTTAGGTGGCAGTGACTGTGACCGGGAGCTCTGTGAACACGGGGGGTGGGAGCTTGGAGGCTAGGGGAAAGAGAAGGCACCCAACTCAGAGCAGTCCCCCTGGAATAACTCTCCTTCTCGTTCCCTTTCTGACAGAGGCCCCTGAGGAGCAAGAGGGTAACTGACCTTGGCCCCTCCCTGGGGTGTAGGGGCCACCTGGCCCCATCTTGGTGCTTGCCCTGGGCTCTCTCTGGGGGCTGGGCTTGTTCTGTTGTAATGGAGGGGACTGGCCTTGGAGAAACCTCAGGGTTGAAGGTGGAGAGGACACCTGCTGGTTGTGGGGCTTCTTGGAGTTCCCAAAATAGCTGCTTCTATCTGTTTTGCATCCAGATCCTGGAACCTCTCACAATGCCGTCCATGGGGCTTAGGGTGGGGTAGGATGGGCTTGCTTCCTGGGGTTTCCTAAGGCCAGTTTTCCCTGAGTCTACCCTTCTTTCCACTGGTTTGGTAGCAGGTGTCTCTTCCTCTTGCATGTCAGGGTGAAGGCCACTAGGGGGCAGTAGGCACCGTGGTAACAAATGGGCTGCGTTTTCCGCACTCGTGCTTGGTGGCTTGTGAATGGCTAGAGCTTGGTCTGGCTTGGAAGAATTCCGCTGCCTTCCTCTGAGGTTACATTGATGGGTGGGCGCTCTGAGCACCCCTTCACCGCTTTCTCCTTCAGTTTAAGGAAAGGGGTGCTGCCTCTGAAGAGCACCTGGGGCTTTGGCTTCATCTTCCTTCGGGATGTGAAGGGCCACAGGCTGCACAGCAGGAGAGAGGAAGCACTGATGGGTGGGTGGGTATGTGGAAGAGCAGGTGTCTGGGTGTTAGGCTCCTTATGATCCCAGCAGGTGGCATCTCTACCAAAAAGGAAGCAGGCTCTGAGGTAAAGAAGTCTTCTCCAGACTGTGAGGGCGGGCAGGCAGGCGGGCGTCTCGCTGTGTCTTAAGGAAGTTCTTTCATTCTGAGGAGGTGACAAGGCCAGGTTTCCTTTAACCCTACTCAGTGCTGACTGCAGGTGGAGAGCTCTGGGTGTGTAGCACATGGACCTACCTTGTTGAACAGGCTCTGTTACCTCCTCAGAGCTTCCAGTATTTTCCAGGGTGCGTGTGTGTGTGTGTGTGTGTGTGCACGATTACATTCATAAACATACTCCGTTGAGACTGTGAGTGAGAGTGTGTGTTTGTGTTCCTGAGTCTGAATGTGTTTGTGTTTTCCTGCCGGCTCATCCTCACAAACCCCCACCCTCCACAATCCTCACAAACCCCACCCTCCACAGTCCGTTCCCGTGGGCCTGGAGGGCTCCGTTGATGACTGTTTGCTAACATGCTGTTTTTCTTTGCATGCTGCATGCTGGTCCTTTGCCTTACAGAAGCTGCTGAAGGTAAAACCTTGTTTCTTGTTAGCTTTCCCTAATTGCCGTGATTAGACACATGTTGGCTGAGGCACTCTGTCTGCGTGGGCTGCTTTCTTTCCCCCAAGGCTTTTTCATACCCCACTGTTGGGCCATGGGTGGGTGTTTGTGGTCTCCCTGCCAGATGCCTGGAGGAAAGAGAGAGGGTCCTAATGCATTCATGGAAGGGGAAAGCACTGTACTCTCTCATGATCTGTCCTCCAAGGCACAGGTGGATCTTAGTGCTCATGGTAGGTGGGCCGGCTCATCCTTTGCATTTCCCCAAGTTGGTACTCGGGGAGCCAAGCCCTCTAAAAGGATGCTGGAAGCTGAGAGGGTTCCCTCTGGTGGCAGCAGTGTGGTGTTACCTCCTCTTTGAGGACCTGCTCATTCCCTCCACTCCCAAGGGACACAGGAAGCTGGCTGATACTGGCTATTCTTGTTTTGTCTGAAGCCCTCTGGTGTCATCAGGGCTAGTTTTGCCTCTGGAAGATGCCCACTCCCCAGTCCTATGGGAACAGGGAGCCAAAGGGCACAGTGGTCATCAAAAGGCCTAAGGAGGAAGACCCAAGATACCAGATCGTTTTTTCTACCCCATAGGTGGGCGCAAGCAGTTTGCTCGCCACGAGTGGGCCCAGAAGGCCGCGTACCTGTTGGGCTGCAACCTGGAGGAGCTCTCCTCATCCATCTTCAAGCACCAGCACAAGGGTGGCACGCTGCAGCGCTCCACCTCTTTCCGCCAGGGCCCTGAGGAGAGCAGCCTGGGAGATGGCACAGGTACCCTGAGCCCCTTGGCTGGTGAATGTCATTGGGAGGCCTCATCCAGGGCTCATTGCTATCTCTGTCGTGGGGAAACTGCTGGGGTGAATAGAGCTGTCAGGGGGAAAGGAAGCCCCAAGATCCTTGCTGACTTGGCCCTGGGTAGTCAGGGAGCATACCCAGGTAGAGATCCCGGGGAGTAGGAGACAAAACTGATCCTCTTGCCCCACAGGCTCCAAACTGAGTGCACTGGAGTGCTTAGAGGGCATGGCATCTGGCCTCTACAGCGAGCTCTTCACCCTTCTTGTCTCTCTAGTGAACAGGTGAGTGCCAAGCAAGAGGGCCCAGGAGTTCTTAGGCGTCTTGCCTTGACAAAGGTGGAGTTGATGCCTCTGTGCTTGTGTGACTGCTCAGGCAGAGCCATCTTCCACCAGCAGAGGGCTCATTGTCCTTGCAGGCCAATGGAGGCACATCTTCCCACCAGGGTCTTGGGCACATGCACAGGGATGGGGACTTGGCTTGGGGCAGGGCTGGGCTTCCTGGGCACAGGGGGCAGACCAGTGGGGCCTGTTCCACAGTACTGCCCCAGCCAGCTCTGACCCAGGCTCTCCCTGTGAAGGGCTCTCAAGTCCAGCCAGCACTCACTCTGCTCTATGATGATTGTGGATACTCCGGGCTTCCAGAACCCTGAGCAGGGTGGGTCAGCCCGAGGAGCCTCCTTTGAGGAGCTGTGCCACAACTATGCCCAGGACCGGCTGCAGAGGCTCTTCCACGAGCGCACCTTTGTGCAGGAGCTGGAAAGATACAAGGAGGTAGCACTTGACCTTGCCTCTGCCTACCCCCCGCCCCTCCCCACAAGCCTCACCCTCTAGCCTTGGCCCCCTCAGGGAGGGCATCTGTGGGTGAGGAAAGGAACCACCTTGCCCACTGGCTGCTCCTTCCCAGCTTTACTCTCTGGTCTTTTCTGTCCACCTGTGCTCTCTGGACTAGGCATCTCTTCCTGCCCAGGCTACATTCCTACTTTGTGGAGAGTTTGCTTTCCAAGAACTAAAGATGCATTCAGGGTCCCTGGAAGCCCTTCCTTGCCAACCTTTAAAGTACTACCTAAGCCCTGTGACTGCCACTATGCAATTTCTTCCTCCACGTGTTGGACCTGGCCTTCCCTGTCTCCCTGTCTCCTGGTCTGTTAAGATGGTGATTGATTTTTTAGGGCCCCTTCATGAAAGGGTGTTCTAGGTGGGACGAGATCTGGAAATCCTCCCTCATGTGGAGGTCAGAGGTATTGATCCTGGGGAGGATATTTATCAGGGATGAGAGAAGATTCAGGAGGAAAATGACAGTTGTCTTCAAGTGTTTCAAGGATGTGTGTGAAATTGAAAGGCTCACTCCGCGTAGCGTAATCGATGGATGTGAATAGCAGAAATATGTGACTTTAGCTCAGTGTAAAAGGAGGTTAGAAGAGTTTTAGCTGTCCAGAGGTACAGCAGTGCCTTGGAGGGTGGTGAGCATTCGTCACTCAGGCTGCTGGAGGGGCGCTCCTGCGTGGGACAGGAGGTCAGACTTGCTGACTCCAGCATCCTCTCCTAGCATGCTTGTAGAGCTGCACCCCACACACGGCCCTGTGCTTACTACCGCTCTGCCTTCCTTCCTAGGAGAACATCGAGCTGGCATTTGACGACTTGGAGCCGGCCACGGACGATTCTGTTGCTGCCGTGGACCAAGCCTCCCATCAGTCTCTGGTAGGAATTCCAGCCAGGCCCTGGGCTGGCCTTCCCTCTCCTTTCCTCAGTAGAACTCTCCCTGTATGGGCTGTTGCCAGTGGTGCCACTGGGTGCTGAGGGGGGCCCAGAAATCAGGCCCAGACATCAAGCACTTTAGAGCTGTGGGCCCTGCCCCTCAGCCCTTAGCTAGTTTGGCCAGGAAGGTAGCACTTTCTTCTGCCCTAGTGCAATGGGGATCCTCAGCCCCTGGGTGTCTGAGACAGACCAGAAGGTATAACTCCATTCTTACCAGCTGGGGCTTAGGTCCTGTCCTGAGGGCCCTGTGGATATGAGCTCTCGCCCCTTGGGGATGGGCTTTGTCACCCTTGAGACAAGTACCTTGGACGCCTTGCTGCCTGTGGACTGGCTGGCCCAGTGAGCACTTGGCATTTGGTGATTGTCTTCAATTAGGGAAATTACATAAGGCATTTTATTGGAGAACTGATATTTTTGCTAGGCTGCTGATTTCCCTCCTCTGCTTTGAGTTCTGTCTCCCTCTCCTTCCTTGTGGGAAGGCCGTGTTAGGCTAGCAAGCAGGTAGGGCCCCGGAGAGAGAGAATGTCCCCCTGGGACAAATGCTCAAAATGTCCAAGACCCACATCTCCCCAGGGAAGCTGGCTTTTCTTCCTGACACCTGGGCTCCTGTGGTGGCCACCCTATAGCACCTTTGCCATTCCCAGGAGGTACGAGGAAGTCAGTCTATGTGGCTTAGAAACAGCAGTGGGTCAGATGGTGTGTTTGGATGGGGTTTGTCCATCCTTTCTCTTTTTTACTCTTCCAATCTGATGGGCCTTGGCATCCGGCAGTTGCACCCCTGCCCTCAGTGCCCACCCTGCCACTCACCATTCGGTGGCTTCATTGCTCATTCTTGCTGGCAGCTCTAGCCACATTGGGACCTTAGTTGCCCATCAGTCCTTGGCCACCTCCCAGTAATCACACTGACTCTGATGGGCAGCTGTAGGGAGGATATGTAGGCTGCTGGGGTCAAAGAGAGGGAAATGGCATTTTTCTTACTTCTCTTGTCCCCCAGTCCTTAAAGGTCAGGCCAGAATAGAATATGGGAAAGGTTCAGTACTTCTTGCTTGAGGAAGACTTGGGGATCCATAGAAAACATACCTTCAGAGCAGATGTGGCCAAAGGCATAGTTTGTTTGGCTTACATGGGGTATTAGAAATCAGAATTCAATATTTCCACCTTCTCTTGAAAACCTGGAGAATTTATCAATACTAGGCCAATGTTTTTCCAGGACAGCAGTTGGCTGCAGCAGAGTGGTGGCTGTTTTCTTTTAGATGGGGATACCTGGTCTTCAGTCAGCCTAGATCTGCCCATTTGGGCTTTCACATCCGTTAAGTCACCTGTTTTACGTTTTTCGCACTTGAATTTATGACTCTGCAATGACCCCACCTGCAGTGCCCCAAGCGCCCTCTGGGTGCTCCCTTCTCAGGAGGACCAGGGTTAACCCACAGCTGTCACTTGTTGACAGCTTCCTTTAGGCCATGTGTTATGCTCAGGGCCTCACAGGCTGGGAGGTGATGCCCAGGGAGTAACTACAGCATAGGGTTCTCACCAGCCCTGTGTGCCCTTAAGAGGATGAGGAAGGAGGAGATCCTCTGGGTGAGTGCAGCTTAGTAAGAAGCCTTCAGCCTTTGGTGACTTTGGACACGAGTCCTGGGAATCATATCTTGCTGTGGGCTTCTTTCTCTGATCTCTTTCTGGCCCCTCTTTTTCCTTGCTGCCCACCTGCTCCATAAGGTGCCAGCAGTGAGTGGCAGGAGCTGCTGTGTGTGTGTAGTGTGTGCTTGTATGTGTGTACATGTGCAGCATATTTATAATGTGTGGTTAGGGAGCTCCTTTCCCACAGCTCCATGTGACACAGTGGGATTTATTTGCTTCTCCATAGGTCCGCTCATTGGCCCGCCCTGACGAGGCAAGGGGCCTGCTATGGCTGTTGGAAGAGGAGGCCCTGGTGCCAGGGGCAACTGAGGATGCCCTCCTGGAACGCCTTTTCTCCTACTATGGCCCCCAGGAAGGTGACAAAAAAGGTAGGTTGCACCCCTGGAAGCAGCTCCTCTATTTCCTCTCCAGGGAACCCACCTATAGGGGTCCAGGTGGCACTGCCTGAGGGGCTCACTGAGCCCCTGTGCTCTGATGATCTGAACCTCCTCTCACCCTCAGGCCCAAGCCCCCTCCTGCGCAGCAGCAAACCACGCCATTTTCTCCTGGGCCACAGCCACGGCACCAACTGGGTGGAGTACAACGTGGCTGGCTGGCTGAGCTACACCAAGCAGAACCCGGCTACCCAGAATGCCCCCCGGCTCCTGCAGGACTCCCAGAAGTAAGAATATCACTCATTCTGCCCATTTCCCATTCCCCAGGGCTGTTTTTGGCTCCCTGGTCAGAGGCCCTCTCACCAGCAGGGTAGAGACCCTCTACTTCCTAAGAAATAGTAGCCAAGGCTAGTTAGCCTTGAGTGCATGGGGGTGGCCTACTGGAGTAGAGCTAGGGACAGACATGGTTGGAGGGACTTATAGTTTTAAATTTGACTAACACCCCCACATTCTTCACAGAAAGTAGGTGTAGCCTTAGAAACCCCTCAGTCATATAATTCCTATCCATTCATTTATTTAACAGATAATTTGGGGCACCTACTCTGTGACTGAATAAAACATAAATCCCTGCCCTTGTGGAGTTTACATTCTAGTGGGGTGGGGACAGTAGATATACTAGTAGATTATATCTTCTATTAAAAGACGCTGAGCTCTACTGTCTCCTGCCCCATGGGAACCCTTTCCCCTCCTCTGCCCTCCCCAGTGATAGAGAACAGATGGCCCACTCTGTCCAATCCCCGGCTGCCCCTCGGCTCCTGCCCACCCTGGTTTTCTCTTCTCACTATTTAGAGATTTCTCTATAGTGTCTTTGTAGGGTGTGGGATATGCAGCCCTAGCCCAGATAAGCCAGGCCCCTGACCACGGTGGTGCAGGAGTTGTTTGGCTTCTTAGGAGTTCGGAGAAGGAATAGCCTCTACTGCTACATGAATGTGACTTCTTTCCCTCCATTACCCTCCCTCCTCTGGCAGAAAAATCATCAGCAACCTGTTTCTGGGCCGGGCAGGCAGCACCACGGTGCTCTCAGGCTCCATTGCGGGCTTGGAGGGAGGCTCGCAGCTGGCGCTGCGCCGCGCCACCAGCATGCGGAAGACCTTCACCACGGGCATGGCGGCTGTCAAGAAGAAGTCACTGTGCATCCAGATTAAGCTGCAGGTGGTAAGTCTGCCAGCCAGGCCCCGGTGTCCTTTCTCACCCCTGGCAGGTAGCCTGGGCATTCTGGGCACACTCAGGTCACCCAGTGCCCACTCAGCATCCCATTTGACTTGATTGATGCTGGTGGGGTCCCTTTTTTCAGTGCTGCCACCTGAGTGGCAACTCGGACCTGGTAAGGGCAGAGTTATCCAGGCTTAGCATTCCCTGGCCAGTGGCTGGGCACCTGCTAACCTGCAAGGAGTGGAGATGCTGGTACCAGTCCCTGCTCTCTTGGGCACTGGCTGGGCCATCCAAGTCCCCTGAGGGTCATCCCTTCCCCTTTGGCAGGATGCCCTCATTGACACCATCAAGAAGTCGAAGCTGCATTTTGTGCACTGTTTCCTGCCTGTGGCAGAGGGCTGGGCAGGGGAGCCCCGCTCTTCCTCCTCCCGCCGAGTCAGCAGCAGCAGTGAGCTGGACCTGCCTTCAGGAGACCACTGCGAGGCCGGGCTCCAGCAGCTGGACGTGCCCCTGCTCCGTGCCCAGCTTCGTGGCTCCCGCCTACTTGATGCCATGCGCATGTACCGCCAAGGTGGGGCCTCCTTCCCTCGCAACTTCTCTTTTCTGGAGCTACCTCTGCATCTCTCACATGGGGCACGTGGGGCTAAAGGAGTGCTCCTCCCCACTTGTCTCCGATCAGCCCTGATATCTTTTCTGCTATGATGCCTCCTCTGTGGGATCTCTTCTTGTCTTCCAGCCCAGTCTGTTCCTTCCTCTTTTTCTTTCCACTCTGCTGATTCCTCTCTTCCTCCTCTCCCTTCCATATTCCAGTCTTCTTCATCCCACATGCCTTATACCTAGGGCTCCCTTCTTTCCCCTTCCCTTGTTTGAGTGGGTCAGCTCTGCCCACAGCACAGAGCTGGAGCCATCTGCCCAGTGGAGGTACCTACTGGTGGCTGGGCCAGCCCCCCAATGAGAAATGAGATGCTAAGTCTTTCCAAAGTACTTAAATTTCCCAGAAAGTTCAGACAAACCCCTTTTATGGACCCACCTGGAGGAGGGGACAGAAGGGGTGAGTAGTAATAGTAGTTAACATCCTTAGACCACTTAACAGTATACCAGGCACTATTCTAAAGTCATCACACACATTAACTCATTTAATCCTCACAACAACCTCATAAGATGCAGGTTCTATTATCATCCCCAGATGGGGAGACTGAGGTTCAGAGAGGTTAACTGGCTTGCCCAAAGTCACACAGCTTGTGAGTGGCAGAGTAGGATTTGCCCCAGGCAGACCAGCTTCCCAGTTCATGCCTCTCAAGCAGGGTTTTGTTTGCCTGAGAAGCTATGAATTGCCAGGTTTCTGCCCCTTAGCTAGACGTCTGCATCCTTAGCAAGACAAGCAGGCAGGGTCCTACCTTGAGGCATCCCCATGGACACTGCCACTTTTCCTCAGCAGCCAAGCCAGGAAACAGGCTCCCTGCTCTGCTCTAAATAAATCATCGATCTGTCCCCACGTCTTGATATGGAGTTGGTGTTTATTATTTCAAAACCAGATTGTTACCGCTCTGAACAAAAATCAATGTGCTTTACTCAAACAAGCAGATCGATGCGGCCAGCAGCAGCAGGGCCCCCCTTCACTCAGCCCCAGCCACCATCGATAGCACTGATGATTAATTAAGATGCCAGGCGTTCGGACCTGCTATCCTGGCCCATCAATTTAATTGCAGTTCAGATACAATCAATAGCTCACTTTGTCTTGGCCCCTCAGCGGCCCCCGCCTCCTGTTTCAATTATCAGGCACATGCATCAGCCTCATCTCCCAGTTGGAGGGTTTCCCAGAGCTGGCTAGGCCAGCACATTGGAGAGAGCCCCTGACTGGCTGTCGGAGTTTGGGTTCGGAGTCCAGTTCTGCCTCCAGCCACAGCCTTTGTGACCTTGAGCAATCAGTCGCTCCACCTCTCAGGCCTCAGTTTCTATGTCTGGAAGATGAGCTGTATCTGGTCTAAGACCCTTTTTCAGTTTGAAATTCTATGATTCTGCAGGAGTGGGTCTCTTGGTCCTCTACTGTGGGCTCTGGTGCCCTCGGGTGACTCTAGGTAACCCCCTGCTGGCCACCGTCCTGACCTTGCTCCGAACCAGAAGCCATCTCACCCTTGCCCTGACCTCAAGCCCAGACGTTAAGGGATCTCTGTTTGAGGTATCACTCTTTAGGGAAGGGGAATCTACAAGATTTTTTGGTCACACGGCCTAGGGCTCAAGGTCAGGTTGGGGGTAGGAAGGGAGCCCTTTCCGATGTCCTGCTTCAGTGGACTGAGGAAAGGAAGGGAACATTGTATGAAACAGCCACCAAGTGAGCCAAGCTTTCTACATATTTTCTAATTAAATGGCTATCATGCAAGATATGTGGTAGGGCCCCCATTTAAAGATGAGAAAACCAGGGCTCAGAGAGGTCTAGTGACCTGTCCAATGTCACATGATACCAGGAGCCTGGGCCAGCGTTCCACCCCTAAGCTCATGCCCTTTTCCTCTCAGCTACTCTCTGATGCCCTATTTTTTTTTTTTTTTCTTATTAAGTCTTCAAGACATTGTGCTCTTTGGGTTATGACAGAGCCATAGATTAGAGGGCTAGAACTCGTCTTAGGTCATCCAGGCTTTTACCTCCATAGCGTCCCTTCCATGTGGTCAGTCATCTCCCATTTGCACCCCTCACTGACAAGGAAATTACTTCCTTCTAAAACAACCTGTTCCCCTTTTACCCTTGGAATTCCACTGTGGGGCAGCCCTAGATGTCCTCTCGGCTTCCTGTCTCTTGTCCTTGCCTCCTTCCTCTCCTCTCTCCTTTCCTGGGCCTGCCTCCACCACAGGCTCTCCTCCCAGAGCCATCTCTTTCCCTTTGGGTGACTCTCCCTGCAAGCCGCCTGGGCACCAGTGGCTGTTGGGGTGTGTGGGAGCAGGTGGGGCACTGACAGATCTGGCCCTGGGCTGTTCTCTTTCTAGGTTACCCTGACCACATGGTATTTTCCGAGTTCCGCCGCCGCTTTGATGTCCTGGCCCCACACCTGACCAAGAAACACGGGCGCAACTACATCGTGGTAGATGAAAGGCGGGTAGGTCTGGGCCCCAGGGCCCCACCAGACTTCCTTTCCTCCGCTCAGACACCTCTGAGAAACTCCCCTTCCTTCCCTAGAGAGTTGGGCTGGCCCCTGCTCATGCTCCATCAGGGTCAGGACAGGGGCGTGTGGCAGCCAAGCAGCAGGGAGAAGGCAGCCTGGGGAATGGACTACAGGAATCTGAGAAGAGCCACCCCCTTTGGAGGTCTGATGTGGGGGTGTCTGCTCTCTGGTGAGCCAGACAATCCTCCAAGAGTCTCCCACGTGGCAGATTAGAACTAATAATGTTTTGGGTGCCACTGGTCGCCCCTGGGCCCTCAGCCTTGACCTCCACATTAGGGACTATTCCCACAGAGGAAGCTGTGCCAGGGTGAGCCTAAGGCTCCTGGGCCCCTTGTCAGCCCAGGTTGGTGAGTTCCTGGCTGCTGAAAGGGATGTCTCCCTGCCATTCTAGGCTGTCACCTTGACCCCCAGAGGCAGCTCCTCAGAGAACCAAAGGGCTCCCTGAGCAGAGGAACCCTCCTTCACTGTGCTCTGGCCTTTGGCACCCCACCTGACTCTGAAAGCATCTCAGACCTTAGGGAGGGTACTCTGCCCCCTGAGTCACACACAGCTCCACATTCATGGAGGCCTCAGAACCTCTCCATTCTCCCCATCCAGGACCTGCCAGTGTCCTTGGCAATCTTGGTATGAATGTAGATGACCTACCCACACCCCCTTCTCTCTGACTCTGACCTTCATTCCAGCCTCCCACTCACGGCCACACCCAGCACCTTGTCAACCCTGGGAATGCTCTGCCTCTGAAGTCTTGAATTCCAGCATGGCCTTTTCTGACCAGCCTCCCTCCTGTGCGTCCCACTCCTCTCTTCCTTAGGACACCTGCTCTTTGAATCCACTGAGACCTTTCATTTCTGGACCCCACTCCATTTTCTCTACTCTGCCCATTCCCTTCCTTTTCCACTCAGCCTCGGGGCCACGATCTAACCCTCTGGTCACTCAGCCTTCGTCACCACCTCAGCTCTTCTGAGCTTCCCTGCGCACCTGCCCTGCCCAACTCCACCCTGGAGGCCCAGCCTTTAGGCATCCACACTCCTCAGTTTAGGGCTCCCAAGTTGCTGTGGGAGAAAAGGGTACACCCATGTAGACTTGAATTCCTACAGCTTCATGGTCTCCAGCCCCAGCTGGGCCCTTGGGGTGGCCTGGCAAGTTTTCCACGTGCCCTATCCTTACCTGGCCCTAGCTCTAAGCTCCTTCCCTGATACTCCATTCTCCACCTGTCACCTCAAATACTCCCCAACCGCGCTTCCCCAGATCTTCTTCCCAGCAGTTGACCTTGCCTCTGAACGCTAATAAAATCAAGGCTCCAACTTCCTCCTCTGTCTTCTCTGCACTGCTCTTCAGGTGCCTCCTTCCTCCTGCCTGGGTGGGAGAAGCACCCCTGCCCTTGTCCAGTCCCTTGCTCCTGTGCTTTGGAAACCGTTCCCTTTGGTCTTCCTGAAGACCTGCTCCCTTGGTGGTAACTCTCCTGTTCCTTCAGCTGCTCCTCTGCTGGCCCTTTTCTCTCAGTGGAGAAACATCCCACAGACGTTGCTCTCAGAAAGGAGCCTTCTGTTAACCCTCTCTCATGTCTGACTATTGTCTGTCTCTTGCCTGCCCTGCACCGTCAACACTTGCTCTCCTCTTGCCTCCCCCGACCCCACCGTCATTCATTCCTCCACCTACAGCTGCCTGGCTCCCATCCCTGATTCCCTGGGATCGGTCTTCTTGTCTCCTCATGCGCTTCATGTTGCCAGAGCTAATAGGCACTGTTCTGTGCTCGGTTTGCAACATGCGACCCTGTTGACAACTCTATTCTTTTTGAAAATTCTTTGGCTCTTTGGCTGCCATACCTGGTTTTCCCTTGCCTCTCTCTTCCTTCTTTCTCAGAACTGCTGAGCTTCCCTTCTTCCACTTGCCCCTGAAATAAAGGTCTCTTTTCTTTAAGACTCTCTCCTTGGGCATGTGTTTCCTATTCCGCACCCTCTTCCAGGGCAACCTCATTCACACCCATCACTACAATTACCGCATATGTATTGATGACTCCCAAATCAATAGTTCTAGCCCAGGCCTCTCTCCTGAACTCCAGACATGCATTTTCATCCAGCTGATCTCTGGACTTCTCTACTGGTATGTCTTATAGCACCTCGAACAAACCTACTCTTTCTCCTGTATTCTCTGCCTTGGAGAATGGCACCATTATCTATTTAGTTACATAAGTCAGAAGCCTCAGTGTGTTCCTAGATTCCTTCCTATACCTGGCAGGGCTCAATCTCCTTAACATATCCGCATTTCCCCCTCCTTTCTCCTTTTTGGGTCAGCCTCTGGCCTTCTCTCCTGTGGATTATTGCAGTAGCTGCCTAAGGGGGTTTCCATTCATCATCTGCCCTCTACCAGTGATATCTCTTTAGAATGCAAATCTGATCATGACTCTTAACTGAAAGAACCCTCCAGGGCCTCTCAAATCACACAGATTCCAAGTACTTTGGCTATTGCCCACCTCCCTAATTGCACCTTAACTGCCCCGCTTCACTGCAAGTTATGCTAACTGCTTTCCTCCGTGCATTCTGTTGTCTTGTGCTCCCGGGTGGCCTGGGTAGCTCATGCTGGTCCCTCTGCCTGAAATGCCCTCTCCCCTACTTTGTCTGGCTAATTCTTCTTGTATTTAAAGACTCAGCACAATCAACACCTCCTCCAGGACTCCTTCCACGGTCCCCTTGGCTGACTTAGATGCCTCCTCCACTGTGTACTTCATTAATTCACTTGTCTCACAACACCCAAAAGATAGCTTGTTCCTCTTGTGGTCATCCTTATATCCCAGAATCTAGCAAGTGCCTGACCCTGCAGAAGCCCTCTGAAAGTGCTCGGTGCACAAATAAGGGACTGAGTAGAGGACAGGGAAGGACTAAGTGACTGGCGAAGCCCCACGTGGAGATGGGGAGTCCTAAGTGGACTCCCTGACAGAGACCTCTCTCTTCAGGCAGTAGAGGAGCTGCTGGAGTCCTTGGACCTGGAGAAGAGCAGCTGCTGCATGGGCCTGAGCCGGGTGAGTTGTCCCTCCGGGAAGGCAGTTGAGCCTCACTCTAGTCACCCTTGTCCACGTGTCTGGCCCTCCCCCACTGCCCTCTGCTCAGTCTGATTTTAGGAGTCTCCTGGTGCCCCTTCTGAGCCCCTCCCCCACCGTGAGTCCCCTTATACCCCACCTCCAGCCACTCTGGGGCTTTCCTTCCTCTCAAGCTGCCCTCATTAGGACTGGGGGCCAGAAATTGAGATATCCCAGCTGCAGCAAACTTGATTTTCCCTTCCTCTGAATAACTGGCTTGTTCAGTGCTGGGAACACCTTGTGATGTCAGGAAGGGGTAGGTTGGGAGGCGGCCCTGAACTTGGCCTATGTCCTGGTGTGGGGAGTGAGGAAGACAGAGGGAGGAAAGCTGGAAGAATCAGGAAGGAAGTAGGCAGAGTGCTCCAGAGGGCAGGGCCCCCTCTGGCAAGTTGTCTGGGGCTGCCAGGGTCCCAGAAAGGCAAGCAGGACATGGTAAGGCCGTGCTGCTACCACCTGCCCACGGGCCAAATTCCTCATCTGAATGGAACGTAGTGCATAAAAGGCAGGCACGCCCAGCCCTGGGTGCCAGTCTGCTGCATTGCTCCACACAAGAGGGTCAGCTGAGCATTCCTCTTATGGGCCAGGGAGCCCTGCACACCCCTTTCTCCAGAGACTGGGAGGCTTGACCAGCAGCATCCACGTATGTGCTCAAGGGCTGTGGTGGGAGGGAGAGCAGTTGGGAGCCAGACGGAGGGTTCTGGACCTGTCCACCTGTCAGCAGACAGGGAAAGAACTCCAGGTCCCAGGGTCTCATGGGGAGTGTGAGGTGGAAGGAATGCTTGAAAAAAGGCTTAAGTATTGCTTGTCCGCTCTGTTCTCACTGTTGTGTACTCTGAGTCAGGTTTTTGGTTCTCCTGCCCCATCCCTCACTGGGCATCCCTTTCCCATCCCTTGCTGTATCTTTGTCTCTGCCATCCCTGGTTTTCCCTTGCCCTTTTGGCCCTGATTGTCCCTGCTGGTTTCTAGTTCTATTATTCTGTTTATTTCCCTGGTTTCTGTGTCTTCTGCATCCCACCCTCTTCCCTTGTCATTTCTCTGGTTTTGGTTTCTGCTGTCTGGCTCACCTCCTTTCTCTCCCCTTCCCTACCTGTCTCTAAGCTCCAGGCTGCCAGCTCAGCTTCTTCTCTGGGAAGCCTGCAGAGAAAGATTTCACTTCAGCCTCTTCTTCTCTCCCTGGGTGGGCTCCTGCCCCTCTGGCAGGCTGAGCTGCTGCTGCCTGGCATTGGGGTGGCACCTCCTCCAAGGCATGTCTTGGGCAGGACAGGGCCTGTACAGGCTGGTCCTCCTCCCGGCTGCCATCTCAGTCCCTCTGCATTATACCAGTGCCTGGCCGAGGCAATTGAGCCCCAGGACCCACTCTGCTCAGGGCAGAATTAGGGGCAATGGTGGATGTTTGCTCACATCTGGCTTAGGAGAGAAGTTTCAGGACTGCTAGGCTGTGGTTAGCACTGGTGGTGAGTGAGGATTCCATTTGTCACATCGCTTCAAAGGAGGAGGTGTCTCAGTCTGAACTTACAGGACTCTGAGGGTTTAGGCAAGGAGTTTGGGGATCTGAGAGCCTCCTGTTATTGTTTGTGAAATTTGTATGGATGGCTATGTTGGGGAGGAGATGGCCCTGAGCCTTCATCTAATACTCAAAGGACTCCTAACCTCACAAATACACAGCTGTTCAAGACAGGTTTGAAGCTCGCCACCCTATCCTCTAGAACATTCTTTTTCTTCTTAAGTGTTTCTGGGCCACTGTCTGTCCCCCACCAGGCACCTCACTGCTTCTGCCCTAGGCAGATAACTGAGCATGCTGACCACAAGCCCAGGGGACTTGGATAGTCCCTACCCCCTGGTAGGACGGCAGGTGCTCAGCCCCATGTGTGGGATGGGGAAAGCACTGTGGAAGACCTAACTGGCTCTCTCCCAGGCTAGCCTCAGGGGACTAGGTTTCCTCAGAGTCGCCAGAGGCAAAGCTTTGTCAGCAGAAAGTGTAGACCATCTCCCCACTTCTCCCCTGAAGGGAGTTTTGGAAGTACTGTACCTAGTGGTTTTTGAGTGTTTCCCATGAAGTTCACATCTCTTTGCTCCACAAAAGGGAATTTTTTGTGTCCTGGGCAAGGTGGAGGTGGGCACATACCTGTCCCTTTGCCCTCTCTAAGGAGACCAGGGCGTTTTTTCACCTGACCATTTTCCCCTCTTCTTCCCCTCTTAGTAGGAAAACTTTACCCAGCTCCAGCTCAGGGAACCAAAGAGTGAGGGGAAAGGCTGGGTGTGGGGGCGTCCAGCTGGTTCCTCACATCTGCCCTCCGGCCCCCGAACCTGTATGACAGGTCCCTTGACTGGGCCAACCTCCGCCTACCACACTGGCTTCTTCATGAGATGAAACCTGGGTGTGTGGGTGGGGATGGGGTGTTGGTACATGAAAGAGATGTGTGAAATGAAGCTGAGCTGGAAGGGTACAGAGAAGGGTACCCCTACTCCTTCCCCAACCCCTTTTTCTGCACACTGCTCCCTGGAGCTTTTTCTTCTTACGCACGGACACCACCATCCACTTCCCCTGATCCCAGGCAGCTGGAGCATGTGGCTGGGCTCAGGGGGCATGGACAGTGATGCTGGCAGTTCTGTTGATGTGGCCGAGGGGTGTCCTCTCCCCATTTGACCAATGGTGTTTCGTTTCCTTATCTCGATAACTTCCTTTGACTCCCTCTCCTTTCATCTCTCTTTGAAGTTAGATTTCCTACCTATTCCTTTCCCTCCAAAACCTCCCCAACCCCCAACCTGGCCCTCCTCCTTCAGCCTTCCTGAGGCCTCTTCTGGCTCTTTCCCTCCCATTTTGGACACTTGGCTCTTCAGGCTCTTCCCAGGCCAAGGGCCACACTCACGGGCCTGCTGGTTTCCCGGGCCTGCTGGTTTCCTGGGCTGGGCTGCCCGCCCGGCCTCCTGCCCTCACCTGGCCGCTTCCCCACAGGTGTTCTTCCGGGCAGGCGCATTGGCACGGCTGGAGGAGCAGCGGGACGAACAAACCAGCAGGAACCTAACCCTGTTCCAGGCGGCTTGCAGGGGCTACCTAGCCCGCCAGCACTTCAAGAAGAAAAAGGTTCTACTCCAGGGACATCCCCATCCCACTCCCCAGCCTAGCCGGGCAGAGCTGAGTTCCGGGGGTAGGGTGGGGTGGGGGACTCAAGGGAACATGTAGGGGCAGGAGGCTGGTCTGGGGGCTGTGAGTTATTGTCATCTGGGGGAGAAGAGATAGGGACCTCCCAGGGCCACCACGCCCTGGGCCAGGCTGAGGAATGGGCAGCCCCCTAATGCCAGTGACAGTGCTGGTGTGCCCAGTGATGGGACCATGTGGCCTGGTCCAAGGGTTAGGGTGGGATGGGGGAGCAGGGCCCAAAGGTGGGCTGTGGATCATAGGCTGCTCCATGAAGATTAAGGAGCTGTGTCAGCGACTCCTTTTCTTATTAGCAAGTCCATAAAACAGCCAGCACCGCCGCCTCTTGTGTTTCAGCAAGATTAGGTTTTATAGCATATCCAGGCCAGGGTGCTGGAAATAATAAGGCAGCAAATAAAGCAGATGAAATTATTCCTAATGATGGTGGAGTGGTTGGTGCCCAGTGCTGTGCTCCCAGGGCCAGGCTCTCTGTCACCTACTCTCTGAGGGCAGGAGGGAGGGAGGGAGGCTGGGGGAAAGGGTAGCATGGGGAGTGTTTGTTCCAGGTTAGGTGGCCAGAGGAGCAGCCCAGTGGGGAAGATCTTGGCTGAGCCTGGGACTGAGAGCCCCACTGTGTGCTACCCCCACCCCAACTTAGATCCAGGACCTGGCCATTCGCTGTGTGCAGAAGAACATCAAGAAGAACAAAGGGGTGAAGGACTGGCCCTGGTGGAAGCTCTTTACGACTGTGCGACCCCTCATTGAGGTGCAGCTGTCGGAGGAGCAGATCCGAAACAAAGACGTATGTAACAGCCCGGGGAGGGCCAGGTCACTGGGAGGAAAGACTAGTTCATCCACGTGGGCAAGAGTCTTACCAGCTTTTCTTGGGCTCCCAAGTGCTTCTTTGTTTAGTCCAGAGAGCTGGTGTCCTTGAAGTATGCCCATCAAATAGAAGGCATCCCTCTGGGGTGTTGGCTGAGCCCCCGGGGAGCCTCATAGGATAAAATCTTGGGCACCCTTAGCATATGGAGAAGGGCCTAGGGATCGGAGCTCCTAAAGGCAGTGGCTTCCTGTTTCCTTATGGCCTGGCCCAAATTTTACCAGCATTGTTCACCCCAAGGGTGCAGATCCTGGGCCCCAACCTCTCGCAGAGCCTCTGGCTCACTTTGCTCTCCTTACTTCACCCTAGGAGGAGATCCAGCAGCTGCGGAGCAAGCTAGAGAAGGTGGAGAAGGAGCGGAATGAGCTGCGGCTCAACAGTGACCGGCTGGAGACCCGGGTGAGTGACTCCCAGCACCAGACAGACTGGCCGACCTCCACAGGGAGGCTTGGCCAGTAGGCCTCCCCCTTCCCCCCCTCAGTGTTCCGGCTGAGTGAGGCAGGCAGTTCAACTGGTGGCATCTCCCTCCCCCCACCCCAGATCTCAGAGCTGACATCGGAGCTGACAGATGAACGTAACACAGGAGAGTCCGCCTCCCAGCTGCTGGACGCGGAGACTGCAGAGAGGCTCCGAGCTGAGAAAGAGATGAAGGAGCTGCAGGTGAGGGCAGGGCTGGGGTAAAGACAGCCATGCTAGAGGCTGCCACACTCGAGTGCCCATCCGTTCCCCTCAAGGACAAGTGGCATCTTCGCCACTAGCCCAGCGCCTCTGTCTGTCCTGGGTAAGCATGTGACCGTGGTCTGTGTGGCTCGGGTGTGGGGGTGTGAGAAAGGGGTGGAATGGCACAGCTCCTGACGCCCTTTCCTGCAGACCCAGTATGATGCCCTGAAGAAGCAAATGGAGGTGATGGAGGTGGAGGTGATGGAGGCCCGTCTCGTCCGGGCAGCTGAGATCAACGGGGAGGTAGATGATGATGATGCAGGTGGGTCTGAGGCTGGAGCAGCTCAGCAGTGGCCTGACTGGCAAGCTCTGATGCCCACCCTGGTAACCACGCCCCTTGTCCGGGCCTGTCTCCTTTGTAGAGCTCTATTATAAGGCTATAGAGAAATAAATGGAAAGTAGGGGTGCTAATAAATGCTGGAGATGATCACGGAGGGCTGTAATAACCATGATAATGACAATGTTTGAGGGCCAAGGTCTGGCAGTCCCTGGGGAAAAGACAGCACATGTAGCCACCTCACCTTCTCTAGTCTTTTCCCACCTATTGGCTCCTTCCACCTTGGGAGGAAGCCATCATTCCAGAGATGTTTCTGAGTCTCTCTGGCTGACTCCACCTGCTGCCCCTCCCTGCCCCATCCTTCTTCACCTCTGCCCCCCTTCTTGGGGACTCTCAGAAGCTCAGTCCGCCCTGTCTGCCCCTAACTGCACAGGTGGTGAGTGGCGCCTGAAGTATGAGCGAGCTGTGCGGGAGGTGGACTTCACCAAGAAGCGGCTCCAGCAGGAGTTTGAGGACAAGCTGGAGGTGGAGCAGCAGAACAAGAGGCAGCTGGAGAGGCGGGTGAGTCCGCTGGGAGCAGTGGAGGCCTGTGGCTGGGGGGGCAGGGAGGGGCTCGGTGCTACACATTAGCCCAGTGAGTAACCAGAGGAAGGCAGACCTTGGGAGCAATAGGGGAGGATTGTTAGCCTTCCTGTGCAGGGGACAACCAAGGGCAAACTGTTGTTAGAGTGTCTTAGTTTCCTGAACATCTCTGACTTCACCCCTCATCTCTGGGTTTCCCCTTCCCTTATCCATCTCCTTCTCCTCACCTTCTCCACCAACACTTCCGGGCCTCTCAATGGCTGATGACCCTGCACCCATCTCGGCCCCTAGCTCGGGGACCTGCAGGCAGACAGTGACGAGAGCCAACGGACTCTGCAGCAGCTCAAGAAGAAGTGCCAACGGCTGACAGCTGAGCTGCAGGACACCAAACTGCACCTGGAGGGCCAGCAGGTCCGCAACCATGAGCTGGAGAAGAAGCAGAGGAGGTGGGTGGGTCCCCTGCCCTATACACAGAGGACCTCGTAGAGCAGCCCCAGACAGGGCGCCCTCGCAGGAGGAAAGAAGAGAGGGCCTGAATTAGGCCAGGGGTCTTGCCTGCATGTCACTTGTCCTAGAATGTGAATGGGTTTTACTCTTGACCTCTGAGGAGCACTCAGACCACATCCTCACTGAAGGCCTGCTCAGGCCTCTGCTCTCAGATATGCCCCCCCCAGTGTTCCTGTCACCCTGCCTGGGCCCAGTAAGGACGGGCCCCAGCCAGGCCCCATGTAGGAACCACTCCACCACAGCTCTGCCCCTGGTGCCCACCCAGCTCCCCAGCTCTCCCTTGCCTCAGCTACACAAACACTCTCCTGACTAATGTCATTAAACTACCGTGCCACTTCCATCTCATTATGGTAATGACACAAAGGAGGGGGGCAGCCCTCACAGGAGAAAATCCAATCTAAATTAATTTCCCTAGCTGGGAATGGGAATGGGACGCCTTTATTAGCAACACTGAGGAACCCACACACCCTGGGAACAGCAGGGTGCCCCAGGGAGTGGGAACGGCACCCAGCTCTCCTTTGCAGGGGAGGGGTTCTTAGCAGAGATGCTAATTCCTTTTTGAAGGGGGCAGCCCCACACTCACGACCCTGGAGGTGAGAACTGCCAGAGCCCCATCCTTCCAATGACCCCAGGTTACCCTCAGCCTCCTGGGCTGGGCTGCTGCTTTGCGGAGAGTGAGAGGAAATAGGTCTTAAATTTCTCCCTCCTGGCACCATGACTCTCCGCTTCCCTGGTTCTTATCTTTACACCCACCCTCCCTTTTACCTAGGGGTGGGCACCCTTAGCAGGAACCCCCTTCTGAGCACCCCGATGACAGTGCCAGCGTGGCCTAGTTACCATCTTGCCGCACTCCCCACTGGGCAACTTATTAGGTTTCAGCTCCCCTGGGTTTTCTTCCTTTTTTTTTTGATACAGTGTTAGGGTAGGGAGACTGTTCAGTTTTCTACAGGAACCTGATTAGCTATTCAGGGAAGGTGTTAAGAGGAATTTCAGTAATTTGCTCCTTAGTTGAAGTCACTGGGCAGGAAATGAAAGGAGTGGAGGAGTGCAGAAAGAGCCCCCTCCCATGGGCTGTACGCTGGCCTGTTGAGGCATGGGGCCAGCTGGGCACAGTGGGGCTGCTGGCTTCCAGCCCAATGTGGGGTGTCCTAGTGGTGACACGGCTACTGCTGGGGCAGGTGGGCCTGGCCAAAGGCTAGAACTGAGAGGTGGGGGCAGGAGCCAAAATTGAACTGTGGAAGGTGAGTTAGGTGAGGCGGGATGTCCATTTCTACCCATCTTGACACCCTCTCTGCCCTCACCCGGGGCTCTCAATCTTGACCTGTTGAAATGAGAAAGGTCGAGACTTATGCCCGAGGAGAGTATGTTCACCTCTTCCCAGGAAGCAGTCTGTGGGTCCTCTTCAGCCCCCCTGGTGAAATGCCCCATCCCAGACCTGGTTGCTGAGCAAGGCCTTGATAAGGACCCCTGAATGTACCTCACCCCAGCCATAGTTCAGGCTGCATGAGTACCCCCTCTGCTTGTATCCCATCCGTATCTGTGGTGGTGTTTCCTGGGAGCCTCTGGAGAGCCAGACTCTTCCTTTGTCTGATGCAGCCACTGTGGCCATGCTCCCTCCCAGGTTTGACAGCGAGCTCTCACAGGCGCACGAGGAGGCCCAGCGGGAGAAGCTGCAGCGGGAGAAACTGCAGCGAGAGAAGGACATGCTCCTCGCCGAGGCTTTCAGCCTGAAACAGCAACTGGAGGTGCGTTGAGCTGCCCCCCATTCACACCTCGCCCCCCTCACAGGCCAGGGCCAGCCCAGGGCCAGCCTCATCTTCCCTTTTGCTCCAGGAAAAAGACACAGACATTGCAGGATTCACCCAGAAGGTCATCTCACTGGAGGCTGAGCTCCAGGACATTTCCTCCCAAGAGTCTAAAGATGAAGCCTCTCTGGCCAAGGTCAAAAAACAGCTCCGGGACCTGGAAGCCAAGGTCAAGGATCAGGAAGAGGAGCTAGATGAGCAGGCAGGGACCATCCAGATGCTGGAACAGGTACTGGAGGGCTTGGCTAAGGGAGGCACCACCATCCCCACAGCTAACCTGAGGCATGGGCCAGAGGGGGGCAAGATCTCAAATGCACTCATGCATCGCTCATTCTGTCCCTTATTCACAAAATATTGAGTGAGCACCCGATCTGTGATGGCCACAGTGTGAAGTCAATTAACCTCTCATGGTACTTGCCACAAGAACAAACCTCGATTGAGTTCTAGTGGTAAAGGGCTCAGCATGCATAGCAGCCAGACACCATGAGCCCACCCAGGCTGCCACCGTGTCAGTTTAGGGAGCTAGTGCCTGGAGGCCAAATGGAAAAGCTTCAGGGTTGTCCCCTGGAAGCAGTCTGTGGGTCCTCTTCGGCCCACCTGGTGAAATGCCCCATGCACCCCATCCCTGGGCCTTTGCTAGACACCTCATAAGGGAGTTCAGCTTCTCCGGAAAAGTCACAGGAGCGAAGCGGCAGCAAACCGAACTGCTGGCAGAGATGTTCCCTGCTCCTGAGTCTGGCGGGAGCTGCCCTTCTGAGTGCACTGGGCAGGGGTCAGAGCACTTCTGGGGAAGGGGTCAGAGCGCTCTGGAGAAGGAACCCAGTCTACTCCCACCCACCTCCAGGCCAAGCTGCGACTCGAGATGGAGATGGAACGAATGAGACAGACCCATTCCAAGGAGATGGAAAGTCGGGATGAGGAGGTGGAGGAGGCCCGGCAGTCGTGTCAGAAGAAAGTAAGGCAATGGGCACTTACCTGTCCAATATGAACGCCCGCTCCTCCATTACAGCTCTAAAGGAAGGGGATTTCTGTTTCCTGGCCTTAGCCACGCTATCTTTCTTTACCATTCTTAACCAGGAATCTCCGTTCCTGGCATTAGCTGGGATGTGGGCTCTCATGGTCTGTAGAGAAACTCAGGCCTTTGAGGGATTAATGCCCTCTGCTTTCTGTGCCAATTGGCAGCCCACCCTATGCCACCTTGTGCAGTCAGCTAGCCCAGCTCAGTGGGGCCTGCCCACTCTGGAACGAGGGCTCCCACTCTGGCTTGGGGCCACCATTCATGCTCTGCCTTCTCTCCTCTCCCTCCTAGGCTACTTTGAAACCTTAGGAACGTCAAATTTAGGGTCTGACCCACTGGGGTCATTCGTGCTCAGCCCTTCCCCACTGTTTTCCTGGGGTGGGGGCATCCAGAAGGAAAGGGGACTGGCTGGCTCCAGACCCTGGGGACTGATGGGTGTCTGTTCCCGCGGTTCTCCAGTTAAAACAAATGGAGGTGCAGCTGGAGGAGGAATATGAGGACAAGCAAAAGGTGCTGCGAGAGAAGCGGGAACTGGAGAGCAAGCTCACCACGCTCAGTGACCAGGTGAGTAGACACTGCTGGCTGGGGCCTGGCCAGCTGCCTGCTCTGTCCAGACTTAGCGATGGGATTTTAGGTGTAGAAAGCTGGGAACATGGAGGTGGGTGCTGGCCTCTGTAAGGCCCACTGTCATCGCTTGTAGAGTGGGAGTGATAACCATACTTTGCACACCCAGGCTTTTCTCATTGGCTGGCGTGATCCCAGCACTTCCACTGTCGTTGCTCATTAGGGGGACTCAGAATGAGGGCAAGGGTGAGGCGTGGGCTTGAGAAAGACAGGAGGATGCCCTGTGGTGGAGCCCATAGCCCCAACTTCTGATGTCCACCCAGGTGAACCAGCGGGACTTTGAGTCAGAGAAGCGGCTCCGGAAAGACCTGAAGCGCACCAAGGCCCTGCTGGCAGATGCCCAGATCATGCTGGACCACCTGAAGAACAATGCACCCAGCAAGAGGGAGATTGCCCAGCTGAAGAACCAGGTATCTGCAGAGAGAACGTGGTCAGCTCTCAGGGCAACTGAGCTTATTTTTTCAGTTTTCTTGAGTCCTTGGGAAGGAAGGTGACAGGGAAGTGGAGAGAAGTCACTTGTAACAACCATACTCCCCAGGGTCTCTGCATGATGTATAGTGTGACTGCAAAGTCCTGGGATGCTGTGGGTAGGGCCCAGCACCCACTCCTGTCATGGGAAGAGATGCCACAACACCCCAAGGTCCTGGTGTCTTAAGTAAACAGAGGCGGAAAGGAGAGAGCCTGGGCTCCCTCTCCCCTGTGAACACCCTGCATAGCCCTCCTATCCCCAGAAAATGGCTGACATCTCTCCCTGGGGCGGGGGTGGCTCTGTGTCCAGCTGGAGGAGTCAGAGTTCACCTGTGCAGCGGCCGTGAAAGCACGCAAAGCAATGGAGGTGGAGATCGAAGACCTGCACCTGCAGATTGATGACATCGCCAAAGCCAAGACAGCGGTGAGGAGCTGGGGTGTGCAGGGCCGGGATAAGGGAGAATAGAGCTGTGCAGTGGCTGCCTTCACTCCAGACAGGGACCCTTCCCCAGACAGGTCCCTTCACACCAGGACTTTCTGCAGGGACAGCAGACCTTACCCCTCTGTCTCCCCCACTAACAGCAGAGGCCTGGGAAGGGGCAAGGTAACAGAGGGAGCCAGCAAGGGCCCATCTCCCTGTTTACCGCCTGCCTGTGGGAGCTTGGCTACAGGCCCCAACACCATTAATAAAAGCAGCTAATGTGGCTGAGGGATGTAAGCAGGTGCCTAGAGATTAGCAAAAGCACCGATAAGGGGATGGGATGGCTCGTTTCCCTCCCCTTCCCCTGGCCAGCCCACTGACAAGCCCAAGCGGCAGCTAATTAGCACTCTTATTTAATGTCTCCCTTTTAATTCCCCACTTCTCCCATGGCCCATCCATAGCTGGCCGAGAATTCATTACTGGTGTGTGGCCACCGGTACCATCTCGGGCAGGGAATGGGGCAGGGGAGGAGGCTGGGCTTGGCTCGGGGCTTCACAACCCCATAGCCAGCCACCCGGCTACTGATGGCCATCTCCCAGGCTTGATTTATCCCCATGACATTTGTGCTTTTCAGCAGTTTTCAGGTGAGTAATTTAAATTCCTTAATTGTGTTAAAAAAGGCTGTTATAAAATTACCATTTTATTTAAATCCGAGTTAATAAATTTCTTGGCAGAGGCTTCCCCAGCTCCCCACAGCCCGGTAACAAGATGGATGGGGCAGAGAAGGAGCCAACGCAGTCATTTTGGTTTGGAATTACAGGCTAATAGATTCATTCATTTCCTGAAGCTGCTGTTGGCTGTCTCTTCCCCTCCCCCCAGGCATGGACTGACTGTGGGGACTGGACAGCCAGGGAGCAGGGGATCCCAGGGGAAACCAGAGCCCATGCCGAAAGAGCTTCACAGATTTGAGGGGTCCTTCCTGGGGCCTGAAGAGGGCAGAGGGCATAAAGGTTAGGGCCTAGACTGCTAGTGCCAGGATGATGGGTCGCTTATTCTGGGCAGACCTTTTCTGCCTTTTCATTAGCCTCCAAAGAGCTGCCAGAAAGGAGCTGTCATTTAGCCCAGGGTTGCCTGTGCTGCAAAGACAGCCCTTTCCCTCGGCTCCCTGGTCCAGAGCAGGACAGGCAGCTCCCTGATCGTACTGGTCCTGAAACCCACCTAGCAGGTGGACCCGGCCTCCTCATCATGCCCCTCCCATTGGAAGTGACATGGGAAGGTTCGGACTCATGCCCAGCCTGGGGCCCTCTGATCTATCTTTATTTCTCTCCAGCTGGAGGAGCAGCTGAGCCGCCTTCAGCGTGAGAAGAACGAGATCCAGAACCGGCTGGAGGAGGATCAGGAGGACATGAATGAGCTGATGAAGAAGCACAAGGCAGCTGTGGCTCAGGTACCCTGCCCAGGAGTGCCTGCCCCACCCTGTGCCACAGACACTGCCCCCTGGTCCTCCTCAGAGGTCCGCAGGGCAGCCACTTCTTTGGAGAGGTTGCAGGGCCTGCAGTCCCTGGCACTCAGGGTAGGGTGGAGTGGGGGAGATTTGAGATTTATGAGGGATCCTGCTTCAGCACTCACTCCTCTCCCAGGCCTCCCGGGACCTGGCTCAAATGAATGACCTCCAGGCTCAGCTAGAAGAAGCCAACAAGGAAAAGCAAGAGCTCCAGGAGAAGGTGGGAACCAAGGTCTCCCTTGGTAGAGAGACCATGTGGGATGACCATACATGGAGATGAAGCCCCAAGCTCACGGGATAGCAAGCACTTCTCTCTGCTATCAGTAATCCACGGAGCAGCGTCAAGTGCAGAGAGCTAGGCTTGGAGCCATATTGCTGTAGCAGACATTTTGGCTTCAGCTGCTTCATTTCACATTTCTATTCCCTCTCTGGTCCTTAGCTTTCTCCTTTCTCTCCAAAGGGCTAAATCGGTGCCAGCGCTGGGCCAGGTGGGAAATGCCTCTGGCTCTGAGCCCCATTCTTCCACCTCCCCTGTACATCCCTCCCTCCCTCAGCCCTCTGGTCACCATGGTGATCTTTCCAGCCCCAGACTCTGCCCCCTCCCTCCTGGGCTCAGTTCTTTCTTCTCTTATGCTGCCCACCCCCAGCTACAAGCCCTCCAGAGCCAAGTGGAGTTCCTAGAGCAGTCCATGGTGGACAAGTCCTTGGTGAGCAGGCAGGAAGCGAAGATCCGAGAGCTGGAGACGCGCCTGGAGTTCGAAAGGACCCAAGTGAAGCGGCTGGAGGTGGGTGCACACTTTTCCTGGTCCACGATGACCAAGGCAGAGCTGCCCTTGCAGCTAGAGCCACACATGCTAAGCAGGGCCGGGCAGGCCCGTGGATGCTCCTAAGAGGCCGCTGCCAAGCTGCCAGGCCAGCTGACAGGGCGGTGCCTTCTCCCCTGCCTGCCTGGCCCGTTCTCTGGGCACCACGGAGCCTGCCTGCTTTACATTCTGTTTTCGTGCTTACTTTCTGCCAAGGGACCAGAGCAGCTTAGCTTTTCGTCTTCATATTTTCCTCCACCATGAGCTCCCCCCGCAGGTCCGCCTCACTCGCTCTCTGGCAGGGTCATAAATATGCAGCGAATGGCGCAACTTCCATGAGGCTGAGGTCTGTTCTCTCATCTCACTGCTCTCTTTCTCTCCCTCCCCTCTTTTATTCCCTTTCTTCCTCACTTCTTCCCACCCTTCTCCTCTCTGATTCTCCCCCTTCCCTCATCGTTTCTCTGCATTTCTGCCCCATTCTCTGTTCTCTTTTATGTTTCCTCTCCCTAATCTTTTTTCCCTTTCTTATCCTCTCCCTGTTTTTTCCAACCCCCCATTCCTCCTCTCTCTCTGTTTTTCATTCTCTCCCCTTCAACCCTTCTCCTTTTTTCTGTTCACTTCTTTTCTCTTTTTACCTCTCCTTCCTCTCAACTGTATCTCCATACTCCAGATTCAGTCCTTTCCACCCAACGCCCTGGAGCCAGCATGCTCCAGCTCCCTGCCTTTCCGGCAGAGCACGGAAGAAGAAAGAGGCAGGCAGCCTTCTCTCGCTGGGTCTCCACCCCCCTCACCCTATTGTTAAGTCCTTGGACGCTTGTGTCTAAGCACTGACGGTTCTCTACGAGAACTGTGTTCAGGGGAGTGGGTGCTGAGGAGCACCCCGGCCACCTTCCGTCAACCCCTCATCGGTGGAGCAGGCACTAGGGTAGGGGTAGAAACAGGTGACTGTGGGGCTGGTTGTAGGCAGCCAGAGGGCATTAATACACTTGACCTAGGGAGAGAATATAGCTGAACCCCCCCTAGATGGGGCTACGGTCCTTGGGAGAGCTAGAGAGAGTTAGAAGAGACTTAATAGTTCATGTCCTGCCTTGGTAATATTTTGATCCCCACTTTACGTACTGGAAGGGTTAAGTAGGTTGCCCAAGGTCACAAAGCTATCAAGGGGCAGAAGAGGTCATTGGTCTGGTGGATATAGGACAAACCTGCTGTCCTTGTCTCCTTTCCTCATGGGCGCCAGCCCCTTCCCTCAGCTCTCTCTTTCATTTTCCTTCCTGCTCAGAAAGGCAATATTGTGGTTTAGATGCAGAGAATATTAAACACAAATGGCCCTCAGAGATCAGGTAGCCTAGCGCTGTTATTTTAGAGACACAGAGACTGGAGGGCTGAGAGGTAGAGATGCCACGGCAGTCAGAGTGGAACCAGGGCCCTGCCCTCACCTTCTGCCCCAATCTCCAGATCATCTCCTGCTCAGCATCCTACGGCCCAGCAGGAAAAAAATGTGTTCAAGTCCCTGGGGGAAGAGAGATTCATCAGGCTTAGAAGGAAGGCGTTGTGCTAGGAATATGACTGTTGTCTCCTGATCCAGGAACTCTCGGTAAAGCCATATACCTCTGAGCTCAGGATCTAGCTTTTTGTGCTTCTGGGTTCAGGGTTACTGAGGGAAGCCTGCTGCTCATGGAGGCCCCACACATGGTGTCAATATGGACAGCCCAGGCTACAGCCAGACCTTGGTAGCGAAAATGATCATGCTAGCACCTTTGATCTTCCAGAGTGCCTCCACGTGTTTTACCTTACTCAGTCCTTAAGAGACCCACGGGGGACTAGGTAGTATTCTCCCATTTTACAGAAAGGCAAAGAAGCCGCCTCAGAGGGCTTTAGCTGCTTGCCCACCTGCCAGTGAGTGGTGGAGCTGGAGCAGACCCCAGGCCTCCTGGCTCCGGAGTTCCGCCACAGCCCTCTCTCTGCCTGGCTGATGGGCCCCTCTTCCCGCCTCCCTGTCCAGAGCCTGGCCACCCGGCTCAAGGAGAACATGGAGAAGCTGACTGAGGAGCGGGATCAGCGCACAGCAGCTGAGAACCGGGAGAAAGAGCAGAACAAGAGACTGCAGCGGCAGCTCCGGGACACCAAGGAGGAGATGGGCGAGCTGGCCAGGAAGGAGGCTGAGGCAAGCCGCAAGAAGCATGAACTGGTAATGCACCCCACCCTGGGGCCCCAAGCTGGCAGCTCTCCAAGCAGCTCCTAAGCGCACCCCTTACCCCTGGGCTGGTGGGGGTGGGCTGCAAAGAAACCATGGTTTAGAGAATTAAAGGAAAGAGGACATGTCAAGAGGACAGTCCAGGAAGCCCTGAGGGCAGGCCAGGGGCCAAGGGTGGTCCTGGAGTCTCCATCAGGCAAGACCAGGCCCAACAGCCCAGCAACACCAAAGCCAATAAATAAATCAATAAATAAAGCTCCTGCCTGGCTGAGAGAGCCTTGAAGTGGGCTTTTTCTGGGACAGCTGGATGAGAGACTAGCCCTCCTATGAACTGGACTACCAATTTTCTCTCCTAGGAAATGGATCTGGAGAGTCTGGAGGCTGCTAACCAGAGCCTGCAGGCTGATCTAAAACTGGCATTCAAGCGCATCGGGGACCTGCAGGCCGCCATTGAGGATGAGATGGAGAGTGATGAGAATGAGGACCTCATCAACAGGTAAGAGGGGCCTCTAGGCAGCTTCTGACAGCACGGAGGCCCTCTTGACCCCCTCTGGACTAGGCACCAGGTAGAGCAGCTGCAGCCTCTGTCTCCCTGTCACTGAGTCACCAGCCTCCCTCCTCTCATTGCCAAACCCCAGCATGGACCTGTCCTGAAGCAGCTGAGGGCAGGACAGGTGCTGCCTGGGTTGGACCCCGCCCCTCTTCCTCTCTGCCCTCCCTCCCAGGCCTCCCCTGGACCTGGCTCTCCAGCTCTGCCTGTTTGAGATGAGTTATTCCCCCATTTAGCTGCATTTCCGATGGCGCCTGCCCTACTCTGGGGAGAGGAGAGATTTAAGGGCGAGGTGCCTTGTTACCGTGCCAGAGGTTTTCTCTCATAAAACCCACCCAAGGAATGGTTTAGGAGAGATGGAGAGATTTGTAGTCTTAGGCTGAGAAGGAAGTCATGAGGCAGGCAGACTGGCAGTCAGTGGTGTGGGGGTGGTCAGGCCCTGGAGAAGCTTGAAAGGCAGCCCTAAGCAGAGCCCCTAGAGCTGCCTCCTTCCTGCATGAGGGCCACGGCCCCATCCTGCAGGCAAGTCCCAGGGGGCCTGCTCCTTTGGGTCAGGGGAACAATGCCTGGGGCGGCCCGGACCTCCCTCTGAGGACAGCATTATCACTCATCCTGCCATCTGGTGTCAGTCAGCTGGAGCCATCTCTTGCTGAGGAAAGAGAGGTCCTCAGCTGAGGGGTCCACCTTGGTTTGCCCGTTGATTTTTCTGTCTTCTTCTGGCCCCCCTGCCCACCATTTTCTTTCTGTTTCCAGTTTGCAGGACATGGTGACCAAATATCAGAAAAGAAAAAATAAACCGTGAGGACTGGAGCGCATGCGCTCTCTGCCTCTCCTCGCGTGTGTCTAACCGCCCCTAACACTGGCCTCCCAACCGGCCTGCTGCATGATGCATGGGGACACACAGCCTCTTGTATCTCCTCTAAGCTAGGCTCTCACACTAACACTGCAGACTCTGTCCTGAGGGAAGGCAGGGGGACAGGCAGAGATAGAGGGCAGGCAATGAGGTGCACTCCCCCAGGAAGGCTCAGGCTGGCGGGCAGGATGGGGGCTCCATCAGAAAGGAGAGGTCAGCCTCAGTCACTAGTACCCACAGCCTGCCTTCCTGTGCTCCAGCCCTCTCCTCCCTCAGAAACCAAGCATAGCCGCCTCCCCAGCCTATTTCTCTGGGGAAAAGTCTGTTTGGGATGGATATGTCCATATCCTTGGGCTCCTTTGGAGCCTGAGCTGCCTGGACTTAGCAGGTATATTTCGTTTTGAAAGGTCTGCCACTTCTTTTGGCAGGCGAGGGTAGGAGATGAGGGGCATCTAGCAGTCACTTGTTTGGAGAAAGCATTCAGGCAGCTAATCGGGGGCTGCTCTGCTGTGGCTGGGGAAGGGAACACAGCCAGATGTGTTTACTTTACTCCCTGAGGGCACCTCGGGCAGAGGGAGGCCCCAGGGCCTTGTGCTGGTGCTGTCAGGTGGTGGGAAGCCCAGTAAATCCACCCCTCTCATCATTTCCCTCTTTCTGGGTGGGAGCTGGACAGTAGGCGCAGATGCGCAGGCCTTCAGGCAGACCCAGGCAGTCCTCCATCAAGTTTGACAGGGCTGTTTTTGGGAGATTGTTTTTTTAGCATGGCATTGGGTTTCCTCACCCACTCTCTCTTGCCTGGCAGGACTCCTGCCCTGGCCAGGATGGGCTGGCGGCAGCGCAAAGGACTTCGTGAGAGCTAATGATAAATGTAATAGTGTGTAACAGTGATAGAGGGCCGCTGGAGCCCGGTTGTCACACACAATTAATATCCCCCGCCGTTCTGTCTCCGTTTGTTTGTTCCCCCGCGATTCGGCTCCCAGTTAACTAATAGCACATGAGCCTGGACATAAATTGTATTTGACATGAGGTTTAATTCCAACCATTTAAAATTTCAACTGCCCCCTGAGCCTGCTGCCCCTGGAGTTTGTTTACGGGCTTGATTATTTAAGGAAAAGACCCAAACATCATCTATATGCTTGAGACCAAAGGGAAAGCGAGGGCAGGCAGGCCAGCTTCTCAGGCTATTTGTTGCTCTGAATGTGAGGAGGAAAATTCGTATTCTGGGCCCATGGCGTCTGTCCCCTGTGTGCTCCAGCCCTGCCATCCTTGGGCTGTAGGAGCTTCAAGGACTGATAAAATGTGCATTTAAGATCATATTCTAAATCATGGCCAGGCGCAACACATGGGTGCCTACACACACACACCAGTGTGCACTCACGCAGGCGCACAAGGGCTTGCAGTCGAGGCTGGGTTCCCGCTGATGGAGAGAGGTGATGGGGCTCCTTCCTCAGCAGCTCTGGGCCTCAGCTCCTAGTTATCGAGCGAGCGTGCTAAGGCGGGCAGAAAAATAATGTTTCGATTTACTTAGAGATACAGTTGTTATTGCCATAACCTTAATGAAAGCAGTAAACAGCGTGGTATTAAGGGAGATTTATACAGAAACGCTTTTAACATGTAGACATAGATTTTGTGATGCATACAGCACCTCCTTTCTAAAGGCAATCAATATGGTTATGAACGGCGGTGATAAATTACAGGCTCTGAAGCTAGAGGAGGAGGTTTTCTGCGCGGGCGTATAAATCAGGTGGTATTGGCATTCCGTGGGGCCCTTGCACCATAGTAAATCTGCCGGGCTCGGATGGGCACAGGGCTTGCATTAGCGGTTTCGGAGCTGTCTGCTAAACTCCTGTTTACCCGGGGCATCAGCCAGCCTTGTCTTTGTTATAATTCTGTATTTGACGGAAGCCCATAAAATATGCCTTTTTATTCCCCTCCCCACGAGTCATGCTCTCTCACAGTCCCCAGAATAGAGTCTGGTGTAGTCTGGTGGTTTCGTGTGTGTGTGTGTGTGTGTGTGTGTGTACGCATGCGTGTGTGTGTGTGTGTGTGTGTGTACGCATGCATGCGCGCACACATGCCTGTGTGGCTATTTATTCAAGAACATAATTCAGGAACAGGGCTGCTCCTGTTGACACAGATGAAAGGAAATTTATATCAAGGAGAAATCTTAGCATATCTGTAGCAGGGGAACGTGGAGAGCAGACATTTTGCAGAATTCTAGAAGCTTTCTCACTCAGAAGCTGTTTCCAAGCGCCTGCTGCTTTGTGAGGGGGTCACCGTGACTCCAGCCTCAGAATTTGACTCCTTTGGGCTTTCCTGCAAGTGGAGAGGGCTCAGGCCAGCTTGACCAGAACTGGAGGCTGTCTGAGGGATGGAAGAGGAGACTTGGAGAGAGACAGAGCCCTTGTCTGGGACTTTCCGGGCCCGACGGGATCTCCAGAGTTCAATTTAAATCCTGAAGTTGTTGCCAGCCCCTTGGGAAATGGCTGCTGTCCCCTCTTTTTCCTTTCTGTTTTTTAAGGGCCAGGGCAGTCACAGGATGGACCTGGGATATGGCCTGTAGTGCCCAGGTTGGCATTGCCATCAGCTAAGGAGACTCCAGTTTTAAGCTAATTTAAAGTCATAATGAATCCCTTCTCTTTTCTGCCCCATGGCCAGCAGCCCAGCTCTTGCAATGCAGGCATGGAAAATTACAGCAGTTACAACTGTATTTTGGGGAGTGGGCAGATAAGAACTAGTAGAATAGGCCTCAGGGAGTAACTGAAGGGCCCAGAACTCCTCTTTTTAACCAAGAGCCATTTAGGTGTAATTGGTGAATGAATGGTCTCCTTATTCTCATTTGGGTTATGTTGCTGAACTCTCACACAAAGTGGAGTGGAAGGTACCCCCGTGGTCCTCAGGGTCGTGTTGGTGGCTGTTCCACCGTGTGGCCTGCTGAGTGGGGACGGGGTTCTTATGAATGGTGTGCTCTATCTAACCTCTGTGTTCTCCCTGACTCACTGATGCGCATGCCACCCTGCACCCCACCCCCGCCCAAGACACACCCGCTGCCACTCCAGCGCTCCCTGCTGGGCAGCCGGTGATCACCTCTTCCCCAGCCTTGCCTACCCTTCTGCTCCTCATTTCATAGCGAGGGGGACTCAGATGTGGACTCGGAGCTGGAGGACCGGGTCGACGGGGTCAAGTCGTGGTTGTCGAAAAACAAGGGGCCTTCCAAGGCAGCTTCCGATGATGGCAGCTTGAAGAGTTCCAGGTGAGCATGTGGCCTTGAGCTGGGAGGAAAAGCCACCTCGTTCCCCAGGGATGGATAAGCAGTATGCCTTTATCCCAAAGAGGTAGGCCTCACGCCACCTGTGTCTCTTGAGTGACATGAGCGTGAGGGGCCTCGGAGGGCCCCGGCGTGTGGAATGAACACAGGAGGCTCGGCTTCTTCTTAGTCAGGGTCTGCGGCTCCCTTATTACTCCCAGGTAGTACCTTCCCACCAGGCTCAGGGCTTTGGTTTGGTGCAGATTTAACTTCATCCCCATTTCCTCCTTCAACAAATGTTGATTGAACGACCTGATAGTTTGGGCCCGTGGAGATCTTAACAGGAATAGCTGCAGAAAAGGCAATGCTTCTGACTCCCCTGACACAGCTGCCCATTCTCTCCTTCCTCTGAACTTTGTCTTACACCCCATGCTTCCTGCTCACACCCCTGGTGGCGGGCAGGAGGGCTTGCTCCACTGTGTCCTGGCCCATTCACAGCCTTCTGATCAGACAGCGACTCCTGGAATCCAGACGCCTATCTCCCCCATCCCTCACCTACCAGCCAGCATGGCAGCAGGGAGAGCGGTCCTCTGCTCCCACCCTTCCAGCATCCACTTCCCTGCTGACATTCCCCTCTCCCCCTTCTCCCCAACTCAGAGCCATCTCATCCCGGTGCACACCCTTTCCCACCCCCTCCCAGAGACAGCAGGTGGGCTGGCTATAAAAAGTAGTCCCTCTTCTTCTGCAGCTCCCCTGAGTCCCCTTCCCAAGTCCAGCCCCGCACCACAAGCACCCAGTGGCCCCCTCTAATTGGTTTAATTTATTCGGCTGAACAACATTTTGTTATTGCAGATAATGTCGCCTTCCGTGCCCCACTGCCATTCACCATGGCATGGCACGAGGCTCCAGGTAGTTGACAATGAAATAAATTGAACTAAACGTTTTAGAGGGGGGAAAAGTGATGAAATAGAACAATAGTCTAATTTACATGACATTCTCCATGAAGCTATTTTCACTGACGCAAATTATTTTGCTTCATTTCCTCCAACGCTCTCACTGCTACTTTGCCAGAGCTGCTGCCGATTTCTCCTCCTGCTCTCTCCTCCCTCCCCCGTGTCTGTATTCTCTACGGTTAATGCTTGTTCCTCTCTCTCTCTCATTCTCTTTTTGCGGCTCCTAACCCGCTACTGGTTCTCTCTTCCCCCGTCTCACCTCCGCCCTCAGAACGGCCCTCAGCACCCTCGGGAAGGAGGGCAAGGAGGGCAAGGAGGGCAAGGGGGCGGAGGAGAGGCCGGCCTCCGCGCTGAGCTCCCTGAGCTATCGGAAGAGGCTCACCCTGAAGGACTCCATCGGGGGCACTGGGGATTCGGAGTCACTCTTCACCACCCTGAGCGAGCGGGCCGCCTCCCCCGAGAGGCCCCCCCGGAAGGCTCGCCTGAGCCCCAGGGTGGAACCAGGCCAGGGCAGGAGGTCTGAGGAGCCAAGTGAACGTGGCTCCATCTTCTCTGAGGTTGGGAGCCATGCCAGCCGGGGCCTGGAGAAGCGGTGGGGCTCAGACTTTGACAGGGCCTCGGCGGTCTCTGCACCTGTCAGCCGGGCCTCCTCAGCCACACGGGGCGGCTCCGGTGAGGACGGGGCCCGGTCCTCCACCAGCTTCTCGCTGTCGAACTCACCCAGTTCCCGCCGCAGCACCTCCCGGCTGGACAGCCTGTCGAGGGCCTTCAGCCCTTCCTTGAGCAGGGCGTCCGGCCTAGGCCGGGAAAGCCCTGACTCCCGCCTGTCCCTGGGCCGGGGCTACCTGGGTGAGTGGGATGATGGAGCCAGCGTGGCCTTGAGTGAGGCCCACTCCCAGTACAGCCACCCGTCGCTGGCCCGCAGCCTGTCGGTGCCACACCAGCCACGCATCTCGGCCTCTGCCACGGATGAGCCTCTCGGCTCCAGCATCTGCCCCGTCGGCCGTCACTCCTACCTGGACCCAGACCTGGAGGCTGCCATCAACGAGGTATTGAGCTACAAGCCCGTCCCGTTCCAGCGGAGCAGCCTGGAGCCCGACTCCGAGGAGGACCGGAAGAGCATCCAGAGTGCCCGGAGCGCCCAGCCGGACGCCCCAGAGCGGGACACCAGCATCCGCCGCTCGGCCTCCGCCGCTGATGTCTCTCGGTCCCGGTCCCGCAGCAGCCGCAAGAGCCGGGGCAAGAGAAGGAGCAGCTCCAGCTCCAGCTCCAGCTCAGAGGATTCCTCAGAGCACAAACGGCGGAAGAAGGGGCGCTCTCGGAAGGGCAAGAAAAAGTCCAAATCGAGAAGAAAGAGAACAGAGTCGGAGTCGGAATCCTCGTCCTCAACATCCAGCGGCTCTACCGTCTCGGTCCACAGCCGCTCCAGCGTGAAGAAGGGCCCGGCCGCGGGGAATGAGAAGGCCGGGCCCGCGCGCCGCCCGTCGCGGAAGGAGGAGAAGAAGCGGAAGGAGGAGGTGGACAGCCTGATGATGCGGTACCTGTACCGGCCCGAGAGCGACTAGCGCAGTAGGTGGCACCTGGCGTGCAGTGCAGCATGGCGTGTGCCACTCAGAGTGAACTAACGTGCTCCTGCCCCACCCGCCACCACCTAGGCCCCTCCGGCATTCCTCCCGGGCACGCCTGGCCTCGGAGAGCGGAGGCCAGCTAACCTGTTAGTCATTCAGAGCCCGGGGCCCAATCAGCTGAACTCACTGATGATGTCAGTCACAGCTCCCACGTATCGAACCCTAACCCGGGCCAAGCACCCTCCTGGATACTTTGCATGCTTTTTAATCCTCACACTAACCCCATGACAAAGGTCCGATTGGCCCCATTTTATAGAAGAGGAAGCTGAGGCTCAGGGAAGTCAAGTCACTTGCCAAGGCCACACAGCCAGGAAGTGATATGGCCAGGATCTGAATGGAGGCTATTAAACTCATCCTTAACCACTCCTCCATCCAGCCCAGGGCAGAGCACATGGGCAAAATGTTTACTACGTGTGCCTGGCAGCACACCTAGGGGCTCTTGCCGGGCCCAAGAAAGGGCCCTGGCTGACCCCGTGGTATGGATTGGTGCATTAGTGGCCACCAGCTGTCATGGGGTCTTTTGCTCAGCTATCCCCTGCCCTGCAACACCTCCTTCCTCCCTGGCATGGATCTCAAGCCTAGGAGTGCAAGGTTCAACCCCACCCCCATACTACTGCACCCTACAGCAGACCCTGAGATGCCTGACTCTCTCCCCACCCCTCCCACCTGAAGCCCACACATGGGCGTCACCCCATCTCTGTTCATCTTGTAAAGTTTTAATGAATAGAAATTAGCAGCTGCTGAGTGACAGCCCCCTCCTGACTTTCCTGCCTCTCCTGTCTTCTCCCTGCGGGGAAGGAGATCTAGCAGTTAGGCCCTTTCTGCCCACACCCCCTCCTCGGAAGAAAGGCAGGGACTGACTCACTGGAATCCCATTGTTGCCAGTTTCCCTGGCGGGTGGTGACATTTGGATCACCCCGGTTATGTGAAGCTGCTTCTGGCATGCTACCCTCCCAGGGCAAGCTTGCTGCTTCCCAGGATGTATGACCCCAGAGCACTGCCCCCTGAGGCCCAGGCATTTGTTTCCTAGATGCATGAACTAACACACACCTGTCGCACGCTTGTGGGCTTGTGCAGTGGAGCAGGTGACAAGTACACTGACTTTGTCCCTTTTGTACTGAAGAGACCAAGTTATGTTTTAAGGAATGGAGCAAGTGGAAGTGAATGGTACCTGAAGCTGTTTGGAGATGGGTGATGGGATGGGATTTGGGGGGATGGGATGGGGAAGATGGAACTTGAACCCAGACCATGCTCATGGCCAACTCGGATTCCCTGGGCCCTGACCTGCTGTGAAACCAAGCCCTTGGGCTCAGCACTGCTCTGTCGCTTCCCCTGTGTGGCAGATGGTTGCAGGTGCTCTGGGAAGAGCAGGAAGCGTCTCAAGTGCACTAGGAAGCGTCTCAAGTGTCAGCTCCGTAGTGAGAAAGGACAGGAGTCATGATATATGTCTACCACCTCTGCAGCCCTGCTGAGTGCCCTGCTGCCCCGGCACAGGAAGGCAGCTAATAGACCATGGGGGGAGGTTAGGAAAGCAGAGAGGGGCAGGCCCTTCTGAGCACTGCGCCCCTACCTGAAGAGGGAGACATGGGCCTGGCCAGGCCATCCCACACTGGTAGATTTCAGACTCCAGTGGGTACCCTCAGCTCATCGTCACCCTTGACTCCACAGCCAGCAAGAACAAAAACACATAAAACCTGTTTCTTCCCCCAGCCACCAGCACAGCTCCTCCTGTCCACCAGGAAAACAGGAGTAGTCCTGAAACCCTACACACCACCTCCGTGGAGGATTGTATTCACTGTGGGGAGAGTGGGCACCAAGCCAGGAGCTAGCCAACCAATACAGAGCCGGCGAGAGACAAGGATCGGGGGAGGGAGGACCTAGTTGGACTCAGCATGGACTGGCTTTGAATGGATAAACTGCCAAGAGTGGGGGCGGAGGCAGAGTGGTGGCTTAGCTTCCCATCTGGCGATGGGGACCAGCGAGAATTCAGAACACGAACGCATCGTAGCTAAGGCAAGGGGAGGGGGCTGCCACCCTGGGCTCGCCCAGCAGGAATTAGCTTATGTACCAAATTGTTTGTGACAGCTTTGAGCAGGAGACAGTGGCTTGGGGGGAGGAAAGCTTTTTAAACAATTTGGTTAAAATGTTCAAATTGCCAGGCCTGACTCTTGCCCTGGGGAGGGGCCTGGCTGCCTGCTGTAGGCTTTCTGACAGCTGTGGCAGTAAGCCACGAGGAGACTGGCTAGAGGTAGGAGCAGGGGGATCTTGTGGCTCCACAGAGCAGGAAAGAGAGGCATGGCGTTACCCCCTCCCCTCTGCCTCTGCCACTGCCCAGCAATGGGATGAACCAGTGTTGAAACCTGGCTGTCATTTTGCCAGGGGTCTGCACAGCAATGTGGGAGTGGGGGCTGCAGCTGCACCTTGAGAAGAGGTGAGAGATGGGAAGGAGCACCTCAGGCTCTCCAGCAGCACCCAGTTTTCATCTGGGTGTCAGCCCTGGTATCTGCCTCACCCCCACCTCTGCCCACAAAATAACCCCACTCTCTTTCCACAAAGCCAGTCCTTTCTTTGCCTAACAGCAGACCTTAGCATTGGATGCCCAGAAATTCTGTCTGAAAAATGAAAATAAAACCAGGCTCCCACTAATTCAAACAACCCAAAAGCTAAAATAACCCCAATTTTTCTACGTTGTGCAGTCACCATCAGGCTTTATAATTTTGTCCCTAAGACACCCCAGAGTCCTTAAGTGCCTTTGGCCCATCAAAGTAAGACTCATTTATGTTCAGTCTAGTTTGTATTAAATGTGTTTTGTGCTATTCTGATTCCTTTAAAAATGGTAATTCATTCATGAGAAATACGATAACTATTAACCAGACTGCCCCATTCTGGAACCATTTTGCATAATTGAACATGTATTTTATCAGGCTGTTCCTTCTCCCTAGGGAGAGATAGAGAGAGTGCGAGACCTGGCTTTACACACACCCCAGGCTCTCACCCAGGCCAGCAGGGAGAATTCTGGTTTGGTCTTGTTTTCTCCTCAGGATCCCAATCTAGCAGCAAGGCTTGGATGTCTAAGAGTCCCAGGTTCAAATTCACACACTGGCCGTGTGACCTTGGGCAAGATGCTCCATCTCTTTGAACCAGCGTCCTCATGACACTTCATGGGGCTCTTGTGAAGGTAACAGGATATCCAGAGTGCCTAGGAGAGTATCTCACAGGCAGAGAGATCACAGAATTCCTGTTTATCCCAGTGGAAGCTGCCTAGGATCTGGATCAGGGCTGTGGCCCTGGGAGCACTGGGCAGGGACCCATTCACTGGGTGCAAGGCACTGGTGGGATGAGGCCACACTGGACTGCATTTTCTCCAAGAGTGTTGAAATTATAGTGCACTTGAACTGTCAGAGGCAGTGTGTGTTTGTTGGGGGAGGGGGTAGCTAGAGGCTCCCAGTGGCCTGATGAAAACTCCACAGGCTTAGGATATGGTACCTAGGCAGGGATGACTTTACCACCCTGAAACAGAGGTCTTGCCAACTTCTACATCCTGAGTTTCCCTTCCTCGTGGTAAGTAGATGATGCCATAGTCAAGGGCAGAAATTCTCACAGGACTTAGGAAAGCCTGATTAGAAGAAAGCGTTCGGATCTGGGAATATTCATGGGGAAAGGCCCTCCTTCTTGGAATCTTTCTAAGAATAACTTTACCGTAGACAAGTTGTAGTCATGTTATCACCAGACCTTCAGACTCCGCAACAGTGTGGTGCATGGACTGCCTGCATCAGAATCTTCTGGAAAGGGAGTTGAAAAAGCAGATTCCTGAGTTCCACCCAAGAGCTATCAAAATTTCTCAGGGGAAGGACCCAGGAATCTGCCACTGATTCTTATGCACATTCAAGTCTGAGACCCACTGCTCTCCAGCATCGCTTTCCTCGGAGTTTTCTAAGTTTTCAGAGTCAAAACGATGTGCTCCTTTCTCTCATTCCTTGGAATATCTTCTGGAGAAGGCAGGAAAGGGTTTTACTTCTCATTTTGTGGCTTTTGGGGCATGCTGTGACCGGGCTTTGTGGGTCTCCCCAGGACTAAAGGCTTTGGTGCTGAAGATGAGGGATGTCATTCCTCTGTGACCTCATTCCTCTCTCCCTGCAGCCCCACCAGCTACTGGAAGTCCTTTGCCCCTGACCGGTCAGATGAAGAGCACGACCCTGTTGACAGCACCTCCAGGCCCCGACACTCCCACAGCTATCCGAGTGACAGCGACACAGAGGCCAAGCCAACGGAGACCAACGCATAGCCTCGCACCCCATGGCCTACTGCTGCCACGGCACCTCTCCCAGGAAAGAGTGGGGCACAGGTCTCCCCACCTGACTGCTGATCTGCAGGAGACACGCCTGACCCTCTGGGTCAGGCTGTGGGGTCTGATGTCTCCACATGGAAGAGGTGGGGGAAGAGGAGTTTCTAATAAGAGAACTTTTTGCTCCTCCTGCCTCCAGAATGCCACACTCTTGGCTTTGACCTTGGGCCACTGTGCGCAGAAGCAGGTGGCTTAGCACTGCATGGAGCCAGCAAGTTGACCTCCATCTCAGCCCTCTGCTCAGGGACGGTGGACACATTGCCTACTGGGACATTCTAGGTTGCTGGGTCCATGGGGAGGAGTTGGGGGCTGGAACAGCAATTCCTTCCCCCTGGCTTGGGGTGAGGGCTTTCTCTTCTCAGTGCCTGCTGTCTTTTTACTTTTTAATTTAAATACCCAACCTCTCCATCACAGCTGCATCCCTGAGAGTGGGAGGGGCTGCGGTGGCAGCTGGGGCCCCAGAATGACTAGGGAAATTTCATCTCTGTGTTCACTCTTCAGAGATCAGCCCTTTCTCTCTGCAGCTGGAGAGACGGGTAAGCAGAGCTGGGTCCAGGTGCTTCTGGGTTTGGACTGAGCAAACCTACACAGACAGGGGTGTATATGTACCATCTGGAACATCCAGCCCCTACTCCTCTTCAGCTCATCAGTGTGTTAAGTGCAATGACCTATTTAAAAGTAAACCCATTCCACCTACACTAGTTTGGGGCTTCTCCAAGCACTGCCTCCCTCCCGCTCTGTCCAAGTTGCCTGGACCATAAGCTCAACTTGAGAGGGAAGGCCTTGGGTTGAGGATTTGTGGTCAGAAAAACTAAAGATGGAAGTTTGGGTCTGTACTAATATGTATTAGACACGGGTCCTCACCCTGTGTCCTGAGCCTGAGTCATTTTTCTTTTTCCAGTGACCCTGCCCCTGCCCCCACCTACTTATCCTAGACATGACAACATGTGGCCTGACAGTCCCAGCCCCAACCCTAAAGGTCATCCCTCCAACACCACCAAATTTGGGGGCCCAAGGGCAGTGCCTGGTGCCGCTCCCATCTGCTGTCCCCTCTCCTCCCTCCTGCAATTGGTTTGTACTCATTGGGCTGTGCTCTCTTTTCCCTGATTACCTGATGTATGGAAATAAATGTCCTTTTCCTCCTAGCTCTGCCAATTTTCCTGCCTGTTTCTTCAGGTTCAAGTAAAGTCCAGGGTGGCCATAGGGGAACAGAGTCAGGATTCTGGTGGGGACCTGGGGGAGTCTCCCTGGTCTGCTCCATATCAGACCAGAGCCACTCAGAGCGCTTCTGCAGATCATTTGGGGCAGGCAAGGCAGTGGGATGAGGTGTCTAGTCAAAGGAGATACAAGCCCCACTTTTAATTTTAAGAGGCTATGGGTTGTAATTGAGGTTGGCACAGCTACCAGGCCTCATCCTCCCATGGCCTCTACTTGGAAATATTGAGGTCCCTCTGTTAAATCTCACCAATTACAGAGATCCTATCTGCTTTTTATTGTTGTCAAGGGATGCAAGCCCTTTGTATTAGAATTTTTAAAGTTTAATTTTAGTCATTCCAAAGATGACTTTTTGATCAAAACTTGGTAGAACTTTCTCTGGCCCCTAGCCCCATTGACCACAGGGCAATTTGAATAGGCTGGGAGTGCTGGCTTCTCTGCCTTCCTGCCCCCGTCCACACTTGGTCCCCTCACTGAGGCTAAGAAGCAGTTCATGAAGGACTAGAAACATGAATCGCTCCTCCTCTACCTTCTGTAATGTGACCACTTATAATTCTTCCTCCTTTCATATCTTCTGTAATGTGACCAGTTACAATCCTTGCATACATGACTTGTTTGTACGGCTGGTCGAGCGGGCTCCCCTGGTTTGGGCAGGTAGGCAGGAAAGAATATCAGACATCTCTCTCTAATGCTGAGGTTCTGGTGATGTCAGCTACCCAGAAAGGGTCAAGAAAGGGCAGGAGGGAGAAAAGTCACTCCCAAAATGGGTGGGAGAGAAGTGTAAAATGGACCCATCTCAAACTTGAGACTGCCTCTCTCCACTTGCAAGGTTGAATAGAGAAGGTAGTAAAAGTAAAGTTATTTTCTTATATACTTTTTTTCTTAAACTATTGGTTCCTCATGTTCAGTTCTGTCACTTACACCTTTTACTCCTGCTTTCAAATACCTTGGTGCATTTTCTGTTTTCAGGGACTAGTATAACAGAGTCCCTGGCACCTGCAGACAAGATCTCAGTTCTGTTCACCCACGTAGATTCAGGCCTCTGGTTAACTGGAAAGCCTGGCATCAGTCTCCAGTAGCCTGGCCTGGGGCAGAGGGCTTTGGTCAAGTCAGAAAACTTATATTAGTCATTTATTCATCCACTCAACAAACATTTCATAACTGCCTGCTATGGTCTAGGTACTGTTCTAAGTGCAGGGAATGGATGAGGTCCTCTCTTTCATAAAGCAGATTTTCTGGTAGAGAAGTTAGACGTAAAATATATACGGCACTTACTAATATGTGCAAGCTTGGGGTCAGTAGAGAGGAGTAAGTCATAGCATTTTTCCTCCAGCGGCTCATGGATTAGGGCTAGGGCAGACCCATGTGAAAATAATTCGGTGAGACATAATAGGACAAAATTGCTTTGGGCCTATTATGAGGGGAGACACTGTGAGGAGGTGGGGAGGACTGGGAAGGCTTCTGAAAGGAGGTGGTATTTGAGCTGGGGTGTGAAGAAAGGATAGCATTTCCACAGGTAGATATTGCTGGGACAGGTGGGCTGGGAAGAAAGAACTTAAGCGAAGGCTCTGAGGCAAGGGTAGAGAGGTGGTGGTAGGAAACCACAGGCTGTCTGGGGAAGCCGGACATCGCCTCACGTGACCAATGCTTCTCCAAGCTGCAGCAAAGCATCTCGGCCAGGGTGCTGGGCTCCAGGCTGGGCAAGAGGTACCCCCTCAGCACCAATTCCCCAGGGGAGTTCAGGGGCCTGCAGGATTACCAAAGCCCATCTTCATTTCAGGTGTGCCTTCAGGAACCTGTAAGCTCCTGCCCTCACCTGTATACTCGAAGCAACTCTGGTCCCTAAGATGTGAGTGATTCTCACAAAACTGACAGCAAATCTGTCCCTGTGCCAAGCTCAAAGCCACCTCAATAGATCCTCCTGTCTAATCTCAGCCCCTCAGGATTGCTCTGACTCTTGGATAGGAGGCATGCGTGAGGACCAAAAAGCCCCGTGAGGCTCCCCATGGTGCCCAGTCTGTGCCCAGAGACAACAGCAGCACGAAGTGACCCCCAAACTACCTCCTTTTGTCCTGCGTCCTCTTGGCAAGTTATACCAGTTGTCCTTCCCGGCCCCCATGCCCCGCCCCTATGCCTGGTGGCACAGACACTTAGCGATTTGCTCCTTAATTGTCCCCCAGCTAGGCTGCGCAGATGCTGCTCTTTAATCTCTCCTGATAAATGAATCACGCCGCTCCTTTAATCATATGTTCATATCCAAGCCAATTTGAATCAATTTGGCAGGGAGCGTGTTGCAAGAGATGCCATGACTGCTGCTTCTCCCCCAGGGTGCTGGAGCCAGCATGTCTGCTGTCCTCACCCTCAGCAAAGAGACCAGGAGGCCCATCCAGGAAAAGGATCGCCTACCTGAATGGTGGGGACTTTTCAAAGTCACTTGTTCATTCCTGTCCTCCAAGCAGGCCCCAGTGGGACAGGAGGGAGATGGATTCCCAGTGGCCTCAGAAGTGGGAGGAAGTTGGGCGAGTCCACATGCTTCCTTGGTCACTGAATAAAAGGCCCCATTATCATTCCTGGGCGAAAGTGCTGCCTTAAATCTAACCCTAATCCTTTCTGTTCCCCTTTTATTTCCTCTGAGCTGGTTCTCGGGAAGCTGGAACACTTCATCACCTTTACATGGCAACACATTCCAGACCAGTCTATGATCATTTGTCCTTGCTTGTTATTGCTACTGGCTGCCACCCCAAGTCCTTTCATCTTTCCCCAGGAGGTATTCTTTTCTAAGTCCGCCAGCCTGGCGGGCAGTCCCGGACTTGCTCGGTCATGTACCAAGCTCTGCTGCGTTTGGTACTGTGCCTTATCACCTACACAGTGGGGTCCGTGTGCCCCTAGTGAAAACAAAACAGACAAACCCTGCTAAACCCAGTGTTTCTGCCACTGGTGCTGAGACCTTGGAGAAGGGACTTACCCTCTTGGGCCTCAGTTTCCCCATCTGTAAAACAAAGTGATACTGCTGGCAAGAACCTTTTGGCTCCTAAGTTCAGATGAAGCCCCTCAATGCTGCCAGACATCCCCACCCCTTCATCACCCTCGGTGAGGAACCGAGGGACAGAAAGGCGGCACTAGGGGAGATCCCCATGCTGGGGGAGGCTCATATCCCAGAGCGAGGTCCTTCGGGGTTGGTTCCATCCAGAAGCCTGATTGCACCCCCGCGTCTTCAAGTCCTTTCCTTTGAACTCGAGGGCTCTGCCAGGGCCTGCGGGCACTCTCTAATTGATTGGGAAATCGGGGTATATTAGCATATTCATATTTTATTTGCATGACCTGGGCCTCCGGCTCCGCCCCCGCCTGGAGGTTCTCCGTGTCCTTCCAGGAAGCCACGTCCCTTTAAAGATTCCACAGCCGTGGACGCGGCCAAGCCCAACGTTGCTGCCCTTTAAGGATCCCAGGGGCATGAAGATACCTGTCTCCGCTCAGCAGCGCGACAGTGCTGTTTCCCGCTCTTCTAAGGGCTCCGGGAAGTCCCTGGCAGGAGCTGAGGCTGATGCAGTGACGGGGCCTTCCCCACCTGTCAGTGGTGACCCGTGGAATGTAGAGGATGCTGAAACCACAATAATTCCCATTGTCGAGCACTTACAATGTCCCCAGTACTCATGCACTTTGCCTACATAATCGCATTTAACCTTCCATACAACTCTACGAAGCGTCCTTGTGCCCCTGGGGAAATAACATCTGTCCCCGCAGGGTCCTCAGCTAGGTTCCAGCGGTTGGAAGGCGACTATGAGCTATTCTAGTCTTGTCCGAAGATGAAGAGGGCGGCAGGAAAGCCAAGAATCCCTGTCATGATCTTTACCTCAAATAGCTGTGTGCCTGGTACCCACCAAGGCCGGGCCTTAGGAAGGAAACACTGCTTGGCAATTTTAAGGGAAAATGTCAACCTCACATCTGTGTTGCTCCTTACAGTTTCAGAACATCCCCCACACATCATCACGTTTGTGCTTCACGCACACCATGCCAACAGTGTAACAGTTCCACGCAGCCCTGAAAGCGTATTTTAAGCTACATTCACCTCATTCTAATTTCATTACAGTACAACGGGACAACCCAGCCCATTCTCTGGGATTTGATCTGTGAGGAGTGATTTCCAGAGCAATAGCCATTTTGGAGTTAACAGGAATGCCAGATTTGTTTAGAAGAAATTTTACAGAGAAATTGAGTCTTCTGTAGTATAAACCCCAGTAATGGGTCATATACATAAGGGAGATTCCAAAAAGGATGTGTGCTTTTCGATTGAAGTCGGTGACATAAATCTCCCAGGAGAATACGTAAATGTGCAGATGGAATTCACTTTAGATATCAAAAGTCAGCTATGACAGTTTTACCCAAAAGCCTCAAAAAGGATATTAAGTTTTGACACTATTCAGGCAAATTATATTTGAGGTGGCTTAAGAGTCAAAGAGTTCCCACATTTTAATAAATTTTGATATGTTTTGTGCCACATCTATGATCTGACTAGATTAGGGAAAGAAGCAAATGGATTTGGGGAAGAGAAGATGCTAAGGAATTTGAAAGTGGAGAATACCAAAAAAAGGGGAGTTTTTAAAAAAAAAAAAAAATCCTAGTACAGGCAAGATGCAGCCAATAATTTCAGAAACATTAGGTCTTTGAAAGACAGGTCAATGACAGGTAACCAGGCAAATGTAAAATTGCATGTGGTGAAATAGGCCTCGTGGGTCCTATTTCTCAAAAGACTGGCCATCAGTCTCCAGTCTGGTGCTCCTGCTTGAGGGCTGCTTCTGGCCCCCACGGGAATATCTTCCTCTGGAAAGCAAGAAAGAGTGAGCCTAGTGAGTGGCACTGTCCCAGAATGTTCTGCACTAGAGGCACAGGTCTCATGGCTGAACTTTGAGGGTTTTGGAGCTCATTTGTGGGG